AATCCCCGTAGGCGAGGGAACGAGTTTATACCGCGCTAGTTAAGGCCGGCGGTTTAAGCCACACGCTTATCGGGGTATTCCTTAACGTCCGCGCCCCGAAGCTTACGGACAGTACGCTATAGCGTAGTAAAGGTAATAAGGCTACGGTCTCTAGGGGGCGTAACTATATCTATAAGGGAATAGGCCTTATCGGCTTAGAGGTTATCGACCTAGAAAAGGTTAGTATAAGCTAACCGAACGGCGAATAATAGGCACGGACCCATATTATTAGGTTAATAGTTAATAGAGACCGAATCGATAATAGTTCGTCGAGTATAAGGCGATTAGTATTAGCGGCGGCAGGAGGGTAAGCGACTTCGTCTAAAGCTTTACGGAACTATTTATATACGGCCTAAAGCCGTAGATAGAAGCGGCGCCGACTAATCGGCGTTAGCTTTTTATCGGCCTCCTTTTAAAGGACGCTAGTAGTAATATTCTAAGTAGTCTAGGTAGCTCCTAGAAGACTATCCGGAATCTAAACACTTTAGAAGCCGAATGCTCGGCGAAGGTAAGGATAAACTTATAGATATACACGCCTAGTATAAACGAAGATAAATAACGCACCTATATACGTTAGAGTTAGAGTGGTTAATATAATCTATATAAATATCGGTGGCTAGGGAAGCTATATAACGACCGTAAGGCGGATCGTTAGAAAAGTTCCTTAGCCACCTATTATCGGTATTATAGAGTATATAACGTAACTCTTGGGTAACGCTAAGTGGAAGAGATATATTAGCGATCGTTTAACGCTAGAAAAATAAGATAGAAATAATAGCGACTATTCGGCGGTATTATAAATATAAATATAAAGATATAGTAAATCTAAACGTAAAATAAAGAATAAAGATTATATAAGGAGAAAGAAGAAGAGAAGAATAACTACGGGAGAACTATAAGAACTTTTATCTATAAGGCAAACGGTCGCCTTAGTTACGAATCCGGCCGGAGAGGGAATAAGTATAAAGAATAGTAAGAATAAATTTAGTAATACTATACACTATAATAATAAAGGAAGGTATAGCGACGAGCGCGATATTATAAAATACGGCGAGTAATCGCCGGCTATTACGCGGGACGCTAGAAAGAGAATAGTAATTAGTAAGCGAGTTAGCTACGTAATTACCGCTAACAGTTTACCGATTACCTAATAATACGTGGAAAGAAGTCGTGATAGTTAGAAGGAGGTATATAGCCTTACCGACGCCGATTAATTATAAGCGCCGACCGGACGGCGGACTTCGTATAAGGCTAGTTATATACACGCCCTGCCCGGTAGGGGGGATAGAACGGGCCTAAGGGACTAGCCCCGTTAGAGAGGGGGCAGTATAAGGAACTAAGTGGCACTATGAATTAGTACTATATATAATCAGGGATACGCTTAGATCGCCGAGCACTCGGCGAGACTAAAATTACCACGTTAGTAAAGAGGGGGAAAAGTCCCCTTTTCCTCCTTAAGTTAAAGTCTTAATAATATACGACTATAAAGTCCGAACTATACTATCCGCTACGGTGTATCTTTTCCCTGGTATTATAGCCTATTCCTTAATATATTATAGCCCTAGCTACTTAGTTTGATCTAGAGATTAAGTAACTTAATATCGTTAATGCCTTTATTAACGCCTAAAGGAGTAAAACAGGAATACCCGTTATATACGAACTTCCCGATAGATTTAAGTAGCCCGATAAGTGCTTAGAGCTCGATAAAATACTATACAAACTACACGACTCGCCTAGACTATAGTTCTAGACCTTCGCGGCTACCCTAATAGACTTAGGGATAAAGGCTAGTAAGGAAGAACTATACCTACTCTATACTAAGGCTTAAGACGTATTCGTTATCTTCTGTATAGACGATATTCTTATATTATTTTATAAAGATAGTGCTATAAACGGCCTTAGGATTATCGAAGGGATTAAAATAAGATTCGAGGTATCGGAAAAGGGGGAAGCTAATTAGTTTTTAGGTATTAAGATTACTCGAGATCGCCCTCGATATAAGGTTTTCCTCTCCTATAACTTATATATCGAAAAGATTATAGCTAGGTTTAGTTTAGATACTCTAAATACCTACTTAGTAATCCTTATTTCTGTTATAGAATACCGGAAAAAAGAAGATAAAGCCACCGCTTAAGAGATTAAATCTTATTAAGAAAAGGTCGGATTAGTCCTTTATATAGCAGTTATAATACGTCCTGATATAGTATTCGCCGCCTCTATCCTCTCCCGCTTTCTTAGCAACCCCCCTCCCGAGCACTATAAGGCGGTAGACTAAGCTATCCGCTATTTATTTATACTAAAGAACCTCTCGATTTAGTACGGATCGAGTATTAGTTTATAGGCGATAGTTATCGCGAGTAACGCCTCTTCTACAAACGATTTAGACACACGAAGATCTTTATAGGGTTACCATATTAGTCTATTTAGTAGATTAGTTATATAGAAAGTAATAAAGTAAGTAACGGTAATAATATCTATAACCGAAGCAGAGCTACTCGCTTTAGAGTAAGTAGCGAAGGAAATAATAGGTTTAAAGCCTGTTTTCATCGAAATACGCTTTAATCCAGAATCTCCTTAGGATATCCACTACGATAATACGTAAATAATATACCTAGTAATCGATAATAGCTTTAGGATCGAGATTAGACTTCGCTATATAGATATATAGCGCTTTTAGGTAAAGTAGGAGAATATAAAAGGATTATTTAGAGTCGTATATCTTACTACGAATTTAATACTAGCGGACGGATTAATAAAAGCACTTCCGCGATAAAAATTTAAGAACTTCCGAGTATATCTTAATATAATAAATGCACGGAGGGGGTAAAAAGAAGTAGTTAAAGTCGAAAATCCTACGCCCTAAGCGCACCGTATACCGGCGGTATAATTAATTTAGTAAAAAGGTATCTCGTTATTATAATACTAAAACACTATACTAAACCTAAAAGCAAAACCTAAAATATAAAAAGGAGTATACTAGATAATTCACTAAGCTCTATTAGTGCTATCCTAAGCACCGTCCTACGTAATATTTACGCTATTTCCTCTAGCGGGAGGAGTAATAATAAAACTATTTTCCCGTAGAATATCTATTATAACCCCCGTAAGCTAGGAGGTAAAGGTAGTAGTCGGCGTACTAGGACCTTAATTAGAAGCTCCCTTAAGCTCCTCCTCCTTAAAGAACTTCTTATTATCGTCGTCCTCTATTACTTTAATTATAAACTTCACCGTTTACTTAAGCTTAGCGAAGAACTATACGAAACCAGTTGGTTAGAGTATTTAACTTTAGAAATAAAGCGAAAAACGCACCTTCTTATCGTCGTTATTAGAGTCCTTATTAATCTTACGGACTATAATATAGTTAAAAAGAATTTTAACTAAAGAGACAAGGCTAGTAAAACTAGCACACGATTATAATCGTAAAGCGCCTTAGATAGGGGGTGAGAACTTATAGAGGGTGGTATATATAGTTTTTATCCTTATACTTTTAGTAGTGATAGGAGCGGCCAGGAACGGAAATATAGTAATTAAATAAGCGCTATTTCCCCGAATAAATACCCTTTACGTATTCTAGGCAGGGCGGATTAAATAGAACCGGAATAAAATTATCCTCGGTATCCTTATTATTATTATTACTACCCTTAGTAGTCTTCTAAGGAGTTAGCTTAGAATAGAGTAGAGATATCGTAGATTAACGCTCGGAAATAACTTATAGAAGCACCCTTTTTAGTGCCGGCTTTGCCCTTAGTCTTCTTTACACTATTAGCCAAGGCTTTCTTAGCTACCGCGGCACGGGTAACGGCCGAGAGGGTAAGGGGAGCCTAAACGACGCTACTAGTTAGCACGCGCCACTGAAAATAAAGCTCTGATACTTACTATATCGCTATTATTATTATTTCTATTACTATTAAAGGGAAAAATTTGGAAAATTTGGATTAAAATCGTTAAACAATCCTTAAAAAATAACAGAACAAGGGTTATAAGAGGGAAGATCCAAAAGCTCTAAAACGCCGGTATAACGCCTTTAATTTATCTACGGAAGGCCCTACTATTATCTATTTACTACTACTATTAATAGCACTTTTCCTTTATTATTTACTACTATTATTATTATTCTTTACTATTTTATAGCTTTTATTCCTGCCTTTTAACTTAATATTAAGGGTATTATATAACCCTTTAAGGCTATTTTAAGGTTAAAAATAAGGCTAGGTTAAGGTTAGGCTAAGTAATCGTTCCGCTAATCACAGCGTAATAATTAGGGGGTATATTATATTCTATCACGTAAGCCACGGTATAGTGCTCTCCTATTAGTTAGAGGTGCCCCACTATCCTCGCTTAGAAGGTGGCAGATATATTTAGGACACGTATACCCGCCCCTTTTTCTTTCTCTTTTATAGACAATACAATCATACATTTCCTGAATCAACGCTCCCTGCAAGCACGCTCCCGTTAATTCAACAGCTGGCATATGTGTGGGCACCACCTCGTAAAAGAGGTACACGTACATTTCCCACGGATACTGACGTTCTCAGTGCAATTAAAATGTTTGAGAGCTGTGATACCCAAAACAGAACCGAGATTCTGGCTCCTGTGCCAATTGTGTTGAATGCAAATCCACAGCCCAACTGCCCGAACGTCAACCGTAGGAGACTACAGTCTTCTTTTGCACATAAACACTCTTGTGCAGGCGCTTCAAATAGAAGTCAAAACCAGTGCCCGGACGCTTGGTTCGCACCAGAGGGGGTGTGGTGCAGCCACGGGCAATAGGAGAAAAAAAAAAGCAAATTAACCATGACGCGACGAGGGAGAACAAATATCGGGAATTTAGTGTGATGGCTACCGTTTACCTTCCAGAGTCCTAAACAACAACCGTAGCCCCAAGCAACCGTACCATACATTTATTCCTCGAGCCTTACTGTGCTCAAAGGATGCATCTTCCTTTCCACGCACACAAGTCGAAGCGCCCCTTCTCTTCAAGTCGTTACCGCCTGGATCGAGATCTCAGATACCATCTGCACCGCCTTTTCCAGATCCCTAGCCCAGTCTGCCGAGTCCATGAAACAATGAAGGAAGATGCTTCACACCCATGGGACCATTCCCCACTTGCACCACCTAGAACTCCCATATGTCACCGGAACAGCTTTCAGAGAGAGAGGTTGTAGCTGTATTCATCCTCCATATTCTGACTGACCCAGAGCACGACACTGCTGAGTCCGACGAGGGCGTTGGCGATAATGTTCTCGATGCCCATGCCGAGGGCAGGCATGGCGACGTCGCGGACCACAAACTTGAGGACGAACACGGTCACGCCGCCCGCCATCCCACCCGCAAGGGCGGCGAAGCCGAGGAACAGCACCACGCGCGCCTTCCACGCCACGCCGTTGCCCGAGTAGCTGAACGAGTCGCCGGACAGGCGGGTCTTCTCGACGCTGTTGATGATGAGCATGCCCAGGCTGGAGAAGATGAGGGGGAGCCAGTCGACGAAGGTGACGTGCGTGTCGGACCCGTTGCGCGAGGACTTGGACCACACGGCGCTGTCGAGCATGACGTAGAAGGCGATGGAGAACTGTTGCGTGAGCACGATGCGTTAGCCTTGTGTCTGGCGTTGCGTCTCTTGGTCTGCTGGCTCTCCCGGTGTCATGGCGGGGCAATCTCCCTCGAAGTCCACGGAAGCAGATGCGGGGAGATAGGAAGGGGCGCAACTTCCGGAGAAATCCCCGGTTCATCCAACGTAGAAGATGATAACATACGTCACCCGCGAGGATGACGAGGGGAAAAGAGCAGGAAAACACGGGCTGCATGGGAAAGGGATGCATACCAAAGCCCCAGAGGCGTAAACGCCAGCATTGCGTGTCCAAGCGCTGTTAAGCCATTCCGGCCTGCGAAATTTCCAAAGACGATCTTCCTCCATGGCTGTCTAGTTCGCTCGGAGCTGCCTATTTGTAGTCGAGTTTGCGCCGTCGTTATCGTTCGGGTAATGATATCACACCCCTCTCATGCGCCGGGCTGCAGCCAATTCTTGATCAAGTGCCTCTAGCAGCGCAGGTTAATCTCGAAGAGCTGGCTTGAAGTCGTCAAGGGGCTCTCTCCCTCTCGGATGAGGAAGATCAATGTTCGTGTGGTAAAGCGTTGGTCTGGGGGTTGGAGGTGGAAAGACGAGATGGCGACCGAAGCCTGGACGGAAGTGCAGGTACCTAGGTACTTGGCAGGAGGTACCTTGGGCAGCTGGAAGAGAACTTGGCTTGGCGTGGCTGACCATCCAATTGTTAACCACCGGAAAAAGTGGGGAGAAGAGGACAATACACGTGACATATCAGAGCCAAAGTCGAGACAAGTGATATTATTACTTAGCAACGCGTTGCTCCTCACATCCAGGAATACCTGAAGTCTTGACTCTCTTTTCTTTCAACCGCGCACTTGGTCTTCGTTTGTTGGCCTCTGACAACTCGTATACTACATGTAATGTTGCGTTTCGCTTTAGCTGGGAATATGATAGTAGCACTGCATCCCAAGCTCGAGACTACATTGTTCAACAAAGTCAAGTGAAAACCATTGTATGCGCATGGTATACATTAGGGCCGCCATTATGGATTCCCAGTAGAAGCAGAAAGAACGCATTGCTCTAAATGTACAACAAGATATCACAGGGTGCTTAGGTAGCCATTACTGCCCCAATGTCCTGCCTGAAGACGCTTAGGCCCCCTATCGTCCCATCCACCAAACTCGGCAATCATCGAGACCATTGAGCAACCATGAAATCAACCTGCCCAACTCGGATGCGGTTGCAGGACGGAAAGAAAGTTGCCCGAGACCGGCGTAACCAGGGCCTCGATGTTGTCGAATATAGGTAGGCAAGGTCGTGCCTGGAACAAAGCGACCGGCGGTTATTCATAAACCCGCTGAGGGAGAAACAGACACCGAGAAAGAAAAAGTAACCACCAGGCCATCGCGCAATTGTCGACACTACTCGGAAGGTATGTGCGGATGAGAAGTACAGTCGGAAAACGAAACCAAACGAAGCCTCAGCCTCAAAAATGAATGTATAAGGCCATGACAACCCTCGGTCGCATACACCGGGATGTCAAGTGCAAGAAATCATGCTACAACCGTGTCGGCCTGCTTCTCCGGCCGACATCCAGTCATGATCGATCAGAAACCTCGGACGCCGCGAACTCCTCCGATAGTTGCTGAACATAGAGTGATCTCTGTCCTGTTGAGGCAAAGCTCAAAAGAATCAAACGCGGGAAATCCACATGTCGTCGTTCCGTGTCGTATCCAGTAGTAGCGCTCTTTCTATATTTCGATTTCTTTCATCGGCTCCGACGCCGCTTCGGCACCCTTGTTCCCGCTGGCTGGCGGAGGCGCAGTTTCCTTGCCATTCTTCCCCTCGTTGGAATCGGAACCAGGTAAAAGAGACGTCTGGGACGGGGTTTGCTTGACCTCATCCTCACTAGGGCGAGGTGTTTCCAGTTCAACCAGATTAGCGGGGTTCAAACTGCTCTCGGCCAGGTCAGGCAGAGCTGTTTCTTCGGTTACGCGTGCCAGGGGACTCGGTTTGCCGATAGCGGGTCGGGGGCTGGCGAGGGGACTCGAGCTGCTGAGGCGCTGCATAGACCGGCCCCGGGGCTCAGCATTGGAAGGCTCGGTGGGGCTAGTATATGGCGAATTTGCGCCTGATCCTACGGGCGATGCAGTTCGGTTAGGGGGCACGCGGGATTTCCGGTTGGCGACCTTGCGGCCGTGCTTCTGATCCATGCGCCACCGCAAGATGCTGAAGTAGGGAGGCTCCACTCGTGTTTCCCTGAACTCCCGCAGCTTGAGCTCGTTGGTCTCTTCGTCCACAAACCATTTGCCGCTGTAAAGGTCGTCGGCCACGATGCCAAGGAAGTGCGCCCAGGAGCGGGCCACGACATACTTCGTGTCATAATCGCGACCGAAAAGGATTATCTGGCCCCATTTCCCATTAGGACCGGGCGCCACGTCGACAGCTAGGTTATTGCCACCCCAGTCCCTCACAAGAGGAATCCAACCTGGGTGGGCATATGCCTTCTGAATGGCACCGGGAGGCACTGAATCTTGGCGACCAAGGAGGTCCTGCCGCCACGCCGGGTTGTTGGGGCCTGCCCGGGCGGGGGGAGCCGTCGAAGAGGACGCCTGACTGGTGGGGGCGGCGGGCCTGGGACCAGCGGTGTCCAAAAGGAACTGTTGATTCACCTTGCGCCAGGTCTCCCATTCTTGCACGAGCTCCTCGCAGTCGAGGAGCATCGAGCCGAAGATGATGCCGGTCGGGGTTCCCCAGCGTTCTTGGCCATCGTGGACCATCAGAGACTCGCGTACATCCTGAGGAAGTGTGCAGTCGAGCTGGTGCTCCAACTCGTTGAGATCATTGCGAGTAGCCCCTTCACAAAGCTGGTCGTACAGTTCGGGATAGTTCTCTTCGGCCCACGCATCGATCTTGCGCCACGAGTGGGAGACGGGAGGCGGTGGGGGTAGGCCGTCCTGGAAAGACTGCATGGGAACATCGCCGGAGCCCTGCATCTCGAAACCATCGGCCTGGCTTTCCCGGCGGGCGGACTGTGACCTCATCCCGGGCGAATAAGGAGCGGGACTCGAGGGTGTGTATGGAGAAACTGAGCCTGCTCCATTGAACTGAGAGTGGCTATTCTCCCGCGATAAGGACTGACCATTCTCGTCGAGATACGGCGACGCGATATGTGTGTGCGATTCGGACGCTGTGGCGACGGACGTGAGAACGCTGTTTCGATTACTGACGAGAGGAGTATGGCGTCCGGTTCGGTACGGTGAGTCGATGGTTGCATCTGTCGAAGTCAGTCAAATGTTCTTCCCATAGGTGGTCTAAATTTGGACATACGTCGATCGTAGCTGGTCATAGTATGCCAGACGGAGCGTAGAGCGTGACTAAATCTATCAAAGGGCATGCCGCGTCAATAATCGAGATCAGGCAATCCACTGACAGGCGGAGACTTACGAGAACGCCATGATGGGCGTGGACGGAGGCACCAGGCCAGGTGGTAGGGTAAAAATGCGATGGGGGGAAAGGTGAAAGAATATAAAAAGGAGACCGTTCCGAATCGGCGAACACGGAAGGCGGGCTAAAAGGGAGACTCGAAGACGGATTCGTACAAGCGATCGAGGAGAGGACCAGACGGGGAATGAACGACCGGTGGAGCAACTACGCTGAACCGGATATTTCCTTGTGACCGACCGCGACGGGACTGGGTGTCGGTGAAGCGGTGGAAGGAACTGGGTGGCAGAGTGGAACTCTGGGAATCCGGCAAGAGCAGTGTCCCGTTTGAGTCGAACTGTCGAAGGAACGAATGACAGTGCTGTTTTGATTATACGGCCAGACACGGAGCCGAAACGCAGCGGTTTTCCGACGTTGAATACAATGTTGTCGATAAGGTGGTAACGAGTGATGTGACTAAGGTAGTGAAAAAGGAAGAGATGGATGGTGGTGGTTGGTTTGGTGGTGGAATTTTGAGTTCCTGTCGCGCTTCCGCCGTGCCGGTGACCTGGCTGTGGAAGGAAGACTCCGTAGCAGGTCGCTCACAGGCAGGCAGGTTACGTGCAGGGGGATTTTGGCCACTAAGATGACAGCGCTGGGGAGATGGCACCTTCTGGCGAAATAAAAGGGGTAGAGCCACGGAATATCCGTTAAAAAAGGTAGGAGCACAGGATTGGCGGAAACATGGGCGGCAGTTCCTGGACTCCGCAGAATAATCTCCTAACAGGCTAACAAATAGCTACCATACCTTGGTACCTTGCTTGGCCCGGTACGGTATATACCTAGTACCTTAGTAGGCAAGTGAAATGACGAAGATACCGTTGTATACCTAAGGTAGGTATCTGCGTGTGGTTTTGCATTGCGATCAATGTATTTCGTTGAACAAAATTCGGCGTTCTAACTATCCTAGCTTGATTACTTCATGTACCTTAATTACTACGGGCCTTCGTTAACTTTTCCTCTTGTTATTATTCCCATTATGAACCATGATTCATGACCGACACGACAACAAAGTAAGTAGAGGGATTCAGCTGCTGGAGGGCCAATTTCGTTCCTGGCACGCGGTGATAAGGCACCCGGATAAGATGGAGGGATGACCAAGCAATCGGAGAAACATGGTCTGTCTCCTCGGTTCTTAAAGGGAACCTCCATGTTGGACGAGCCATTTAGGGGCAAAATAATAGGTATGGTCGTTATGTTACGAAGTAATTACCAGGTTAGGTAGGTATTAGTTACATGGTGCGAAGCGTTCACCACAGCATACGGAGTAAAATTAGATATATGCGTACTACCTCTCCGTACGCAGATATACGAAGTAACACTCTGTAATTACTGCATATCTGGATCTGATTGTTCGTTTCATAGGCCCAAACGGATACCATGGAGGAAGCTTCGTTTCTTGGATTGGACAAGGGTGCACACCAGTGCCAGCTTGGCAGTGCAATTTTCCAGGACAACTCATCATCCAAATCAGCACCTCTACTGGGACATTCGGTATAGATGACCAGGACTTCCCAGGGAAACGCTGCACGTAGCAATTCCTATGTAGAGGAACTGAGGTAGGACTCCGTGGGGAAGAAATGGGATAACCTAGAACAAAAGCTGCTCCGTCTTGCCCCTACGAACAGGTCATAGGAAACCAAGACAGCACTAAGTAGCCCCGGTCACTACCTAGGTAGTCAGCTCGACATGATGGCATCCAAGTCATCATCATGGGATGAATCGTTTGTGTCATCGTAGTCGACGAAAACAGAAAGCTCCGGTCTATGAGGCCTTCAACGTTCAATAACGAACTCTGGTCAGATTCAATTTGATTTTATTTTATCTCGGCACTTTCGCCGTTTCACTCTTCCTCGTGCGAGTCCCTCGTGAAGAATCCCGTGGCCGCTTCCAAGTCGAGTAGCTTCGGTTCACCGTCACCTCATCTTTGACACCTGTAGACCGATCATGGCACGGCCACCCCATATCATTTAACACCTCCATCATCCATCCCAATGGCTGTCACTGACCAGGACACCTTCTTCTCCTCCTTCCAGTCGAAACTGCGGATAATAGTTTGAGTACTGGTACCTTCCTTAAACAATTGTAGGAGTTTGGAGCTGGCGTTAGCATGTCGTCGTTGGCTCCTTGTGGCACTTAGGGTGCCATGATTTTCGAGAGTTCAGGACGGAGTAATTACCGTCTAGCTCATGTATGTTGACGAAAATGCATCGTCATCATGCAGAAGCTTCGCCAATTCGGGTGCCCATTCTTGGCTGGGGTCCCTTCTCCGCACGTCTTGTCGGCAGTGGCTGACCGTGGTTGAAGGGTTCTACTCCATACAACTACATATGGCTACGGATAACTCCTTGCAAAACGGATGACCGGCTGAAAGTATCACGGGGTTTAGAATTTCAACCGCCTCTAAATACGTTTCAGAAGTGATGGTTTTGACGCGAAGTGCTCTGGTTAGTGGATATCCGCCGTCGCAGTGGACATTGGTGACGGGCACTTCCTGTCCCAAGCAAACGAGCTATTGATACTGGGTTATCTATAGAGTATTATACTACCTGTATTTATATGCTTCTAACCTCCAAATCACAATACTCTATCTGCTTTGTCAGCCTGCTTGACAAGCTTCGCATACCTCCGTTCCCGACTCTCCTTCGACACAAGATTGAGTACTTCTTCCTGCAATCTCCTCCCGTCAAAGGGAAGTCCCTCGAGTCTGATGGCTTCTAGTATATAACCCACGACTGTGTTGGTCTGCAGTGGGGTTTGACGAAGAATTCTTGCTATTTCTTTGGGATCTAGACCCTCATTGTCGTGCCATATGTAATAAGATCGAAGCTGCGGGTTGCTTGCACAGATAGTGGCGTGGGAAGCGCGGTAAGAGGCGACTTGTGCCTCTGCTGCTAATACCCGGTCGTCCTTCGGCCGCCTCGTAATCGACGAAGATGGCGTCGACAGTGGGCGTTTTCTTGGCCCTGGCGGCGTGACCTCCTCATTGTCGCCTTCCACTTCTACCTGAACGGTCTGCTGAGCACTTGAGAAGTCTAAAGTCGTTGTAGGGGTCGTTATATGAGTCGTAGTCGTAGTCGTAGTCGTCTCCACTGTTGCGGTGGTGTCTTCTGCATCAAGCACCTCGACCGTATTCACTGTCGTAGAAACAGTTGTGCCCTCGGCCAGACGGATCGGCTGACCAAGCTCCGCATGGTAGGGAAGAGGAGGCATAGGGTCTAGCGCTTGACGCTTCTCATCGAGCACATGATATAACTGAAGACCAGCATACGCGTCACATGCGGAATCTGAGCTCGGTTAGACGACTTCAACTCGGAACGTCTCGTTGATGTAAATGACGCCACTTACAAACAATCTGAGCCATGTTCAGGGGCTGGCTCCAGTTGCTGGCCCGGACATCCTGCCCCTTGAACATGGGCAGCCCCAGACAATCCTCAACCTGTCTCGCCAGTGAAACACCCTTCTTATTAATCAGGTGGACGTCACCGGAGGCGGAGTACTTGACGAGCTTGTACAAGTGGCTTAGTTCAAAGAGGCCCCTCACGGCAACGCCCAAATGAGTGCGCAGACGTGTGCCGTCCCCTTTTATGGCGACTCCGACCTTGCTCACATCGGGATCCTCCATGATCTGTCGGAACGTGGTAGAGACTAGGTTCATATCGCTTTTCGGGAAGAGAGCGACATGAAAGAGCGCGATGCGACTAGGACTGGCCATCTGGATCAGAGACACGTTCTGTCGGGGCCCCGAGAACCTGTTCGCCTCGGGTTGCCATTCGAGGTCAAACCCGATGACTTTTTCGTCCACGAAGTACTTGCATACCCGCTCCATTGTGTGCCTGCTCTTGCAGTAATGAACCTTGACCCTACGCTCCTCCCCTTTGGGCTGGCTGGCTCGGTAGAGAGTGTACGACCAAAAGGACTCCATCGAGCCCTCCGGAGCATTCTCGGCCTCCACGAACACCTCCTCGGGTATATTGAACACTAGACTCGTTACGGGCGGCCTGTCGAAGATGTTCTTGTCCTTCGGCTCGTCCGTAGGAGCCGATCCGTCTGGGGCAGTCTCAACACTTTCGTCCACCTGGGGCTGTCCGGTCGAGGGAACGCTCTTGTCATTGTGCTCATGGGCAGTGGTAAACGACGCGGTTTCTGAGTCGGAATCGTCCCCTTCAGTCTGTCGGCCATTCCAAAGTTCCTCTTCGCTCGCTGGATTTCGGATGGTGGAGGATGGAGGCAAGTCACTCCCGTCGGGAGAGGGGTTCACGGCGACCTGCTGCTCTCGCCTCTGGCCAAACACGATGCCCCGAGAACGATGCCACAGTTGATTGAAAGGATAAGTGTCCATTTGGAAAGGGTGACGCCTGGAATCCGCACGCGTTCGAATCAGCAAATCTCCTTTCTCATTTACGCGCCGTTGGTTGAGAAACGTACCTGGACAGTCGGACGGAGTTGGAATAGAATCGGCATTGCGACAGGCCGTCAGCCCTCCCATCGAGCCTTACGTACTTCTGTAGCCGCAGAAGAGTACTTTTCGCCGAAGGTGTGCCATGGCGACCAAATGGCATGACTTGAGAGCGTAAGAGGTCCCAGGCAGACGCGTCGACACCTTGGCGGGGGTCGGCACTTCCAAGATGCGGAGTTGGAGTTGGGGTTTCCGCGGGGCGGTTCTTCACCTCCAGGATTAAAGGCCAGCTTCGTAACGGTTGCTGAGTCATACGCGCGATAACACGTGACTTTCTATCTCCCTCTGTCTGTTGCTTCGAGGTCCCGTATTATCTCATTGAAAGCTTGTCCCGGTATCAAATCGACAGACAACTATTAGGAAACCAACGGAGTTTGTCAGACATAAAGCACTCGGAACTCCAAAACCGGGGATACAATCATCAGCTCGGGCCGGCAACACATCCCGCAAACCACAGTAGCCGTCCTATATCAGTCCCGACGAAGAGGCCACCGACATGGCCACACAACTACTCCCCCTTGGTACGCCCGTCGAATTTAGCTGTCCGAGGACTTGGCGGGAGAGTAACTTACACAAAACCAGAGCTCATCGACAAGTGCGTCGGCTCAAGGATATGGGTCATCATGAAGGGCGACAAGGGTACGACCATTAGATCGGGCTGAGAATCCATTGCGGCATGCTGAGACCACGACTAACATCTTTGTCTGGCAGAATTTAGCGGAACTCTCGTAGGATTTGACGACTACGTTAGTGAGTAGCGGTTTGCCGAGGTCTTTATTTGCGAGATGCGGTGTGCTAACGTCCTACTTTAGACATGGTCCTGGAAGATGTCACAGAATTGTAGGCATGCCCGATGTTGCCCTTCGGGACTAACCAATCTCACTTGCTCGGGCTAATCTTTGTTTGTCTCATCAGTGACTACTCTGGTCAACACGTTAAGCTTCCCAAGATTCTATTGAACGGGAACAACATCTGCATGGTAAGGACGGTGGTCCTAACGCTGTAAAAACTATTCAGGACGCTGACTTTCGACCCTTGTAGCTAATCCCTGGAGGCGAGGGGCCGGTTTCTTGAGAAACAAGATTCTTTTCGAGTAATCGGTGGGTATGATGGCGGCTTCAGAGACCTTGGTAACTATCGGTCGAAGGTATCTCAAGCCGATCGCCGTATCATGTTTCTGACATGTAGGCTTCTATGGTCCGTCAGGGCGTGCTTCGGGGGGCGTCCGACATGAGGTTAAGACTCAGGCAGGCTATTTTATGATTATGACCACGCCAAACGTTCCAGAGAATCCATGCGGGAGCTTGATGTAAATTTCATGCCATGCTACGTCCCTGAGGTCACAGCTGAAGTTCCGGACTTTCTCTCTGACTTATAAGAAGCACAGTCTCCGACGAAGCAATGAAGTAGCAAAGATGCACATGTTCCCTCGCGGCCTTGCCAGGCCACTGAACACCCCGAACGCCGTGTAAAGTTGTCCGTATACCAGGTACCCAAGGGGGAGAATGCAACGGCCGGAAAACAAAGGAGAGACTAGCCCTGGCCAGGGTTGGCGTCATCATTGCGACGAGCCTCAACGACGCGACGGAGTTCAAATTCTCGAATGAACTCCTGCGAGAGGTTGGAGAACATCTTCAGCAAGTCCTTGAGGACGCTAACGACGGCTTCCTTGGGAGTGATTTCCCCGTTGGTCTGGACGCGGACGAACATCTCCGGGACGTTGGGATGCGAGACTATCAACGTTTATCTCAGCATTTAGTGATGTGAAGCGAGGAGCTTGAGGGGTGTGGAGACTCACCCTTGTAGCCAGCCATCAGAACCTGAGGATGCATCTTGAGATGCTCAGCGAGGAGATTGCCCAAGGTATGGTCCTCCTTCTTGATGAGGAAGTCCGAAGTGTTGGCCATGGCTGTGACGTGCGAGGTCAGGCTGTCAGTTATTCTTCCGTTGGATGGGAAAGAGTAGGGGACTTTGGAAAACACGAACCGGCAACGGGACGCTCATCGATCTTCTTCTCCCCGGGGCCGAGGAGGAAGAGCTCGAAGCTGTTTGTAAGGTGCCAGTCAGCCTTATATGTCAAGACAAGCGAAACAACGAGGTAGAAAGAATCAAGGTCTAGGCTGGTTTAAAACGCGTGGACCAGTCTCAAAAGGGCGCTTGTCCTTGTTAGGTGCCATGGTGTCAGATGTTTGGAGATGGGCTCTTGGTTGAGGTTGTATGATAGAAGTGGTATGATGGAGAAGGGTTATGAGAGCCAGCAGAGCTGAAGGAGAGAGACCTAAGGGATTGATGCGAGGTGTAGAGGAAAGAGAAAAGGATGGCCAAGGCAAGAAAACGCTCGTAAGAGACCAAAGAAACGAGGCCGTCGTTGTGACGACCATGGAGGTTATTCGAACGCACAAGTCTTATGGCCGTTGCATGATCTGAAATTCTGGAAGGCACCGCCAGTCTGCTCACTTATTTGTCCGGGGGACTGCCTGTAACCTACAGACATCCGCGAAGCCCTCATTTATCGTGGCCACTGACCCTAGAGAGCTGCCTAGGTGTCTTGCCCACTAGGCCCGGGCCCTCGAGATTATATACCGGCTCCGTTGATGTTAATCCCGGCCTCGTAACATTAGTGGCTCAACAGCCATAGCATCCGTCTCGTTACATGCTGTGATATGCTGTGACATGTCGAAGGGGCGAGGAACAGTGTTCTCCTCTCAGACAGTATTGTGATAAGAGTATGTGTTATAAGGATATAAGGACAAAGAGCAGAGGGCACTATGCCAATTGAAAGACACAGAGCCTGAACTACAGGCCAATGTTCTTTACCATGATACCGGCAGAATAATGGTGAAGCACCGTATGTGATAAGTAAAAGAGTGTTCACTTGCCGGTCTGGTGCGTTCATTGTGAAGAAGGATTTAACACCGTCTCGTAATTAAACTAAAGATAGTGTAAGCACCATACTATGATGACAGAGATACGCCTTAATTGAAGAAATATACGCACCTAGGACGAGTAGTTTGGGAGCACTTCAGATAATGTGCAGTGACAGGGGCGACTTGAGAGAGAATAATCTTCCGGAGTTTGAGGTTCAAGTCACACCTCAGTGTCAAGACTTGGAAGGCGCATGGACTATATGTATCCGTAATCTACTCTGTAAAGTAAAACTCGGACCAAGAAGAGAAAGCAATGAAGTCAGTCAAGTGAATTGGAGTTGAAATTCCGGCGTTAAACCCAAAGGAAGGTACGATCGAAAAGGGTGCTTACCCAGAAGGCAAATGTTGTCGAGGTCGATTTCTCACCAGCCACATAATTGTGGCGTATACCCATACAGTATGTTATATCAACACGAAACTATGTCGCACAGTACATGCTTCACGCAAACATCGAATTGGAAAAGACAAGATGCTAGTTGCTGCAAGTCTAAATGTTATACGGACAGGTATAGGAATCCTCCTGTACTTCTAACAATCCAAAAACAATCTATAACATCACCGCAGACAACCCAAATCTCGTCAGGTAATCTGCCTTGACGCCTCCATAGATATGTAACAATCCACGCAAGTCTCTCGTCTAGGTGGGTAAGGTAGAGATGAATCCATGTCAACAATCAGGTTGCCATCTTTCTTCTTATAGGGTATGTAGGGCGCTCGGGTCTCCTAGCTTTATAGCTTCCACTTCTAAAGCCCCTTGGGATCACAGTGTCCTGGAAGGGTCGGTCCAGAGGGACCGCTGGCCCAGCTGACAACTGTCAGGGTCGTTGTATATGCCATGGCCACGAAGCCAAAGACACAGAGAACAACGTCCGCCACTCGCCAGAACCGGTTTCTCGCGACACCACGGTAGTGAAGCAAGGGCTATGGTTCCTGTCAGCAGCTGTCTACTATGACTTTTCTGGATTGTAACGTGGGGAAAAAAAAGAAGAAAAACCCCCTTACCGGGTAGATGAAAACGAGCGGGATGCAGGCAAAGTTGCCAACGAGGGCGACAAATTTGTCCAGGTTGTCGGCGCCGCCCCAGGCGATGGCGGCACACATGAGCACGAAACAGAAACGGTACACGTTCTTCTGCCACTTGATGTACGGGTTGTATTTTCCGCTCTTTGTGAACAGGCCATTCTCGGTGATGCGGATGGCCGGGAAGAGTTGCAGCGGGGTCGACAACATGATGGCGGCCGAGTACAGGAGTTGGACTCCATTGACGAGTCGGCTGTCCTGCGGCAAATTCAACAGAACGACTGTTTCCGTCTTCGAGCCGTACGCGGCGTAAGAGACAGCGCCCATGACGGTGAAGAGGGCGGTGATGATGATCATGACGACGAACAGGACGCGAGGGAACTTCTCGGGGTGCGACATGGACTCTTGAATCGGGATGATCAGGCCGATACCCTCGAAGGTGAAGATGGCGGTGCCGATGAAAAGGGTCCAGCTGTCCTTGTTGAACATGATGATGTCGGCCAGGCCATTGGTGCTCAGGGTGAGGATATCGTAGTAGAAGAGATACGCAAGGCCGACGAGGATGAATGCGTCGGCGATGAGTGCGGTGAAACTGAGCTTCTCGATATCCCTCAGGAGGGAGAAGGGCATGAAGATGGCCATCTGCATCAGGATGAACCATTTGGTTTCCATAGCCGTCTCGCACTTGGTCACAGCGAGGACGAAAGCCTGCAGGTTTTCCGAGGTGAAGACCATGTACGCCGCGACGAAGCCGATCTGGCTCAGCACGATCGAGAACAGGATCAAGGTCCTCAGCCACTTGCCGTAGAGTATCCCTCCGATGTCGCCAAAGGATCCCTCGACCTTGAGGCGCGTAGTGACGAGCAAGACGAAGCAGTAGTAGCTCAGGGCCGCCACACCAAGGAGAACGAGATTGCCAAAGAGCATGCCGCCGTTGAGGAACGCGCGTGGGAGGAATAGAACACCGGTACCGACAAAGGACTTGAGCAGGAGCAGAGCCGCGCCCATTGGGCTGTTCGTGCCACTGCCGCCACGCGGCTTCCGCCTCCGCCGCCGACGGGAGGGCGTCAACAGGGCGCTATCCTCCATGGGCTCCCGGTCATCCTCGCTCCCTTCGTCCGAATCGTACTCTTCGTCACCCTCGGCACCGGAGGAGAAGTATTCGCCCGGACCCAAGGCCTCGTCGTCCTCCTCCAGTTCCTCGCCGGCGAAGTGGCCATAGATGGACAAGAACTCGAGGAAACTGGAGGTCAGCAGCCTCGGATGATGGGAATCCTCGCCGGTCTCCGAGCTGTTCTGATCAGCCGACGGGTTCTTGGCCGATCGCCTCAGGTAGTTCCTCCTGAACCCGCCCGGTACTCTGATCGCATTGATATCGAGCACCTCGGTTTCGGGTCCCGGGCGGGAGACGCTGAAGCTCTTGCTCCGCTGCACCTTGTTCCTCGACTCGGCCTCGGTCCACTTGTAGATGGGGCGGGTGACATCGCCGCCCTGTAGACGGAGACTGGAGAACTCTTCGTCGTGCAGCCCCGCGCCGGCTACCTCTGCGGGCTGTTTGCCCTTGGCGCCATCCACCACGCTGGACTCTTCCGAAGTGATATCCGAGGGCAGGACGAGATGCCGCTTGACGATCTCGGGGTCTTCGTACACGGCGGCGTTGTTGCGGCTACGCGAGTCGAAGGAGCCGTAGTTCGTGTGCGGGCTCCCGAAAACCTGGTGGGCAGAGGCGCCGGAGGAGCCGGGTTGGGCGGGAGGAGTCGCTGAGCGAACGGGCGGCGTGCCAAACTTGGGAGGAGAGACGCCGATCGAGTTGGAAAGGGCAGCTGCCAGGGCAGAGATTCCGGGGCCATTCGCGGCGAAGCTTCCTGGCCCTTCGGCGCCGGCTAAGGGCGTGGTATTGCTCGAGTTGGGACCATCGGTGGACCGCGGCACTGGAGTGCCCGAAATCGAATGGCCGGCTAAGGGCGAACCGACGTGCTGGGAGGATACTGGGGCGGCTAACCGGGCGGTAACATCAGATCGCGGGGTAGACGAGTACTGCCTGGCGGGAAAGGATGTGGGTGAGGCGGAACGAGGTATGCTGACGGGGTCTCGGAAAGGGGAGGCCATTCTGAAGTCGATGAAGATATTGAGAAGGTCTTATCCCATTCTTTATCCCTTATCTCTGGGGGAGGAAAAAGGCAGAGGAGCGAGATAGAGGCTTGGAATGCCGCGTGGTGATAAGCCTGTTTCGGGAAAAGACGGATATCTGGTTAGCAACGAGTCAAGATGGGGAGCTGGGGCTCCGTTATCAGAGAGGCCGAAGCAGGAAGAGCTGTGATGTTGCCGAACGAAAAGGGGGAGGGGGGGTTGGATATACCTACCAAACTTGGTATGTACAGTAAGGTAAAGATAGGATTTGGAAGAGGTTATCGTGACCAGAGACACTTGACAAGAAGACGAGCTCGTGTTTGGCTGATAGGCGTCCGGGCCCGTGACGTGAGCGCGGAAGGTTGGACGCAGGTCTTGTGACTCTGTGCCAGGCTTGGTTCTACAGGATCAACGTCTTGTACTCAGGTACCGGTACGGGTCAGCACGGCGGCTTAAGCTGCCTTGGGTGCCTACTAAGGTAGTGTACAGGCTATGGTTGACGGAGGTACCTAGCGATAGGGCGGAACTACCTAGCACTAATAATCAGGTAGCCAGATTCTAAGGTAGCTACCGTACAGTAAGTGAGCAAAAGTTTCGGGATACCTTAGAATGTTTCGAAGCTTTTGGGGAACACTTTTCTACCAGGGCAAAACCATGTTATCTTGCAAAAGTACCTTAACGAATCACTGGATCTTTGAAATATACCTAAATTATTGCTCACCCACTGTACCTTGCCTTAGATATCTGTGTGTGCGGATGATAATGTACAAGAAATTACTAAAATGGGGGCAGGGTGTGGTCTCACATCAGATTCCCCAGCTACCTACCATTTGAGCGTATATTATTAACTAAGGTAGGTACTCCGTAGGAGTCTGGGAGGTAGGTCCGCACTGAGGGAAAGGAACTACGAAGTAATACGTGTACTGCCGGTTTACTACTCACGTCCATATTAAGATTGTGATTGCACCGTTTAACGCCCGTGGCGGTGAACGTTTAGAAACGGGAAAGTCATGGAAACGCCAGGCTGCCTGTTTAGGGACAGGGACAGGGACAGGGACAGGGACAGTAAAGGAGAGACACTGGACACAGGGACACAGGCCGGCACCAAAGACATTCCTAACCAATTATTCTCTCAAGTTAAGAAAACTCGCGGCGAACTCTTGATATCGAGTGGAGAAAATGAGAATCTTTGCCTGATCTTTCGTACGGTATCCGAGCTTTATGTGCTATATTCTCATACCAAACGCCGAGAATGAGATGACCACTCCACTGTCCTTCGTATATGCTATCTCACACCCAGCTCCCCCTTCAGCTCAAGGGAACCCGAGGATCGATCCCAAGCTTTTCTTCGGGGCCCTTTGTAATTACATTGCCTCGTTCATGTCCTCCTTTCCATTTCCCCACGTCATACTCTCTGGGGTTGGCAGATAGGAAATCAATGTTGTGCGACTGCAACTCCCGAGTCGAGTCCCTGTCATCCCTTTGCAGCCTGCAGGGCCGGTGGTATGCACGAAGTAGCAGCGGAGATCTCGTGAGCTGGATTGGAGGGTCTTGGCTGACGTTGCCCCTCTCATCTGTGTCTCCCTTTGGCCCCTCATTCCTGTCCTCCTTGCCCGACTTTACTGTCTTTTTGGTGGTTTTTGTTTTTGCATGGATACGACCTACAACGTACGTGCCATGTTACGATGTACAGGCAACCACTGCCCACCAGGCCACCGCCTCCTACCTTAGGTACGGAGTACTCCCCGATACCCCCCACTTTGTAGCTCCCTTTGTTGGACCCCTGTGATCGCATCTTGAGGTACTTGGCGACTTTTGTACGAAATACAGAGCCTCGTACCTTAGGTACCTAGGTAAGGTACGGAGCTACCTTAGCCATGGCACGGTCGTCCCTTCGTAGCACGGCCCCTCCTCTGTAAACACAACCACAAATCCCCAAACTCCACTGATGTTCAACTCACCTTCAGCACCCTGTGGTTAATCCTTGGCGTTCATCCGCAGTCCCTTCGCTTTCTGGTAATTACTCCGTACTCGACTCATACACACATTCTGCCAGTCATCGACCTCGGATCTCCAGGTCTTGGCCGTGTTGGACTGCTAGCCTCAAGGGTGACCATCTCGTCTCTCGTCTTTCGTCTTTCGTCTCTCGCCTCTCGTCGCGCGTCTGTCCTCTGTCACGACCTCGAACTTGCCTCGTGGTCTCTTGCCCAGCCGGCAAATTATCCTTCCTTGGCTTGGGCGTCCGAAGCCTTCACCTGGTGCTGGCACATCAAGAGCTGCCCGACTTCCAACACCACGCTCCTCTCCCTTCGTCCTCACCTCCGCCTTCTCACCACACCCACTTGCTTCTGGCCTCGCAGGCCTGTATAACGAACGTCGCAGGCACTATGTGGTATGAGGACACGGCGGAGAATTTGTCATAAGCGGTCGGGAGACTGTCCCTTATAATCTATCTCCTCGGCCAGGTTATCCGTTCTCCGTGGCTCGCCCTCCTTCCCCACTCGATTTCCAGGGATTCTCATAGCAGCCAGCGTAGAAAATGCCTGGGTCTACCGATGCCAAACGGCGGTCCAGTTCCACTACTATGGAGCAGACACGGCCTGCCACCAAGCTCGGTGTGGTCTCGGGAGTCTACATCCCCGTCTGCTTAAACATCTTCAGCATTCTCATGTTTCTGCGCTTTGGCGTAATTCTCGGACAAGTTGGCCTCCTTGGCATCATCGGTTTGTCTTCTCCCCCAAGAACCTTTCCCTTCCCCTTAACCACCAGGACTGGGGCGGTTCAGCTCCCCCAATCCACCAAGGAGGGAAAACGAAGCTGCCCTTACACGTACATATCAAAGCCAGACTAACTCTCTGGCCCGGTATGAACTATGAACCCTCAGGTTTACTCCTCACCGCATACTTCGTCAACTTTCTGACGACACTCTCGCTGTCCGCCATTGCTTCCAACGGTGAAGTCAAAGGCGGTGGCGCCTATTATCTCATCTCGCGCTCTCTCGGTCCTGAATTCGGTGGCTCCATCGGCGTGCTCTTCTACCTGGCCCAGGTTTTGAACGCGGCTCTGAACGTCGTTGGTCTCATCGACTGCATCAGGATTTATGTGGGAGATGTCTTCCCTCAGGGTTTCTGGACTGGCTATGGCATACAGACTGCCGCCTTGTTCGTCTGCACTGGCATCGTGCTGGGTGGGAGCGGTATTCTGAGTCGAGCCAGCAATGCCTTGCTTGTTGTTCTTACCATCGCAGTGTTGAGCATCCCTGCCTCGACCCTCTTCAGGACACCCTTCCGGGATGACTCTCTCGGCCTTGATTTCACCGGTATTAATCTGGGGACTCTCGTCGGGAACTTCGCCCCCGACACGGAGGGAGACAGCTTTCGAGGACTTGAGACTTTCCGCGACCTGTTCGGCATTCTCTTTCCTGCTACCTCGGGCATCTTTGCCGGCGCTTCTCTCTCCGGCGATCTGCGCAATCCCAGCAGGGCCATTCCCAAGGGCACTCTGTGGGCCATGTTGACCACCTTCATCGCCTATCTCGTCGTCGTCTTCTCTCTGGCCGCGAGCACAACCCGAGAGTCTCTCCTTCAAAACCCCAGCATCATCTCTCTCACCAATCTTTATCCGCCCCTCATCCTGGCCGGTGAGGTCGCCGTCACCTTCGTCTCCGCCGTTCTCGCTCTCACGGGTGCGGCCAAGCTCATGATAGCCCTTGCCAAGGATAAGCTCCTACCCGGCTTGGCCGATGTCGTTCAGGACACGGGCAAAGCGGAAGATCCCCTCTACGCTGTTGTCATCACCTATGCCATTGCCCAGGTGGCCATGTTGGCCAATCTGAACCAGATTGCCACGTTCATCTCCATGGGTTATCAGATGACCTTCTTCGTCATGAATCTTGCTTGCTTCTTGCTCAAGATAGGATCGGCACCGAATTTTAGGCCCGCATTCAAGTTCTTCAGCTGGCAGACTGCATTTGCTGGAAGTATCATGTCGGCCATTGCCATGTTCTTTATCAATGGGACCTACGCTGCCCTCGCCGTCTGCCTGCTCGTCTTCCTGTTTTCCCTGATCCACTATCTCAGCCCACCCAAGCAATGGGGCGACGTCTCGCAGAACTTGATCTATCACCAAGTCCGCAAATACCTGCTCCGCTTGCGTCCGGAGCACATCAAATTCTGGCGGCCGCAGATCATTCTACTCATCAACAACCCCAGGAACCAAACCAGGCTGATCCAGTTCTGTAATTCCATGAAGAAAGGGTCCTTGTACATTCTTGGACATGTCATCGTCACCGACGACTTTGACAGCGGCGTACAGGAGGCAAGACTCCAGCAATCAGCCTGGACCAAGTACATCTCCGAATCATCCAGGATCAAGGCTTTCGTCCAGCTCACCATGTCTCCTTCCATCAACTGGGGCATCCGCAACCTGATCCTATCGGCGGGACTTGGTGGCATGCGTCCCAACATTGCCGTGATAGGGTTCTACAACATGGATGATTTGAGGAAATCCCGCCCCTCCGTCCGCGTTCCCGAGATGCCCATGTCACCCACTATGCCGTCTAAGCCAGTTCCCAAGAGGGAGGGGAAGGCTGCCGCTTCGAAACGAAGACGCGGCGACACGTCAGCGCGTCTGCTGGAGGGGACTCTGCCGACAGACGTCATCAGGACCGAAGACATGATGGGCGTTACTAACTACATGACCATGCTAGAAGATCTCGCCCTTAAACACAAACTCAACGTAGCTGTGGGCAAGGGGTTCCAGAACCTCGAGACTCCCCGCCCGGACGGAACAAATACCAAAAAGTACATCGACCTCTGGCCCATCCAGATGTCCGCCGAAGTGCTCTCCGATGGGAAGAGTTTCTTGACCACGAACTTTGACACATGTAAGACCTTTCTTTGGCAACCGGCATACAGGTCGAGGGATGCGGACACGAGCTGACCACACGCGTAGACACCCTGATTTTGCAGCTTGGATACATCCTCCACACGGTGCCGGCCTGGAAACGCGTCTACACACTCCGGGTCATTGTTTTCGTCGAATACGAAAGCGAAGTGGCGGAAGAGCACGCTAGGGTTAAGGCTCTTCTGGACAAGCTGAGGCTTGATGCCAAGATTCTCGTTTTCTGGCTGGCATGCGGCGAGCTCAAAACCTACGAGTACATCATCAATGGGCGCTCCGACGATGCAGAGAACGAGGCTGTGGTCAATGAGGTCCTTAGGAACGAGGACTGGTGGGGTGAACTGCAGACATTCCGGGGCCGCATGTCGACTACGGGTTCGGCGCAAGATCTGACGCATCTTGCCAACATCATCGAATCGACGGCGGGGCGAGCGGGGGTCTTCAACCCTCATGTCCCGGTGGACGAGGCCAATCCCAGGCGCCTGTCGGGCACAATCGACCTCGGTGACTTGCAAAGAAAGCCCACGGTGTCCAGATTCGTGCGGTTGGGCGTGAGCATGGGTATTCATACGTCTCACCTCGGGGACGAGGTCTTCGAAGGGGAGGAAGGCATTGAGAGTAGAATTCCCAGCGACGACGATCAAGGGCAGTCGAGTTCGGAATCGGAGTCGGATACAGAATATGGCGGCGACGACCTGAGCGATCACAGTGAAAATGAGGCGCAAGGGGTTGAACCGGTCCGGCGCCCACTCCTGTCGGGCAGCAGAGGTGGACGAAGCCTCAGCGTCGAGACCCTGGGCAGTGCATTCTCAAATGGACGAGGCCGGGACCGACGGACAAGGGAACATCACCCTGGGGAAATGTCGACCACTTACGGCACAGTCTCAGCACCGACACCCGCGGATATTTTGCAGGGCGGATCATCACAGCACGCCCACGGCAGCCAAGGCCAAGCCCGGGATAGTGGCACGAGGCAGTCAAGTCCTGGCGGAGCTGCCAAGCTCTCCCGAAGCCCTTCGTCCAAGACGTTCCATCCTCCTCCAAGGATACTCGGTGCTGAGGCATTCCCCGACCTTCCCAAACCAGCTTCATGCCGGGACGATTCCGGCACCGTAACCCCGATACGGCCAGCCATGTCCCGTCAGTCGTCGACCGTTCGGTTCTCCAGCCGTCCAGTACCAGAGACCAAGGTGACGGTGGAGGACACTGCAGGCCCCACCATCATGTTTGCCGAAGAGTCCAAGCCCGCGCCGTCCCGAGCTGAACGGCCTGCTTTTTCGAGACAGTCATCAGCCGGCCGATTCTCGAGCCGACCGGTTCCCGAACCCAAGGTATCGGTCGGCGACGGATCTGGACCCACCATCACGTTCGCGGAGCCGCCGTCGCGGTCGCGCAAATCGTCGGTGCTTTCCGACATTGAAGACGGGAGCGACGTGCAGCTGAACATGTCGGATATCCTGGAGCGGTACCGGCTTGGCGCGCAATGGCCCCAGGAGGAGGACGAGGAGGGATCGCCATACTCTACGCAGGGCTTGGCGCTCTCGTTCAACGACCTCCCGAGCCGGGCCCAGCACCTCATCTTGAACGAGCTGATGCGCTCGCAGAGCAACGAGACGGCCGTGCTCCTTACCACGCTGCCCATCCCCAGCGAGGGGACGTGCCATGATGAGGAGGCGAGTGTGGAGTACCTGTCCAACGTAGAGGTTTTGTGTCACGAACTGCCACCGATCCTGCTCGTTCTGAGCAATAACATGACGGTCACGGTGGGGTTGTAGAGACGGGGCTGATGATTTTTTTTCTTTTTTTTTTCTTCTTTTCTCTGCTTTGGAGGTTTTTTTTAATCGTCTGGGTTTCTTTATCATAGTACATGACGCGAAACATCATACATCTGGTTTTGCATTGGAAGTCTTTGTCTACAGCAAGTAGCATGCATGCATCGCAAGCAGGGCGGGCGCATTTCTGAATTATGGACTATTATACCACCGCCTCAACATCATTGCAAGTTGATTTAAAATAGAAATCCCTTTGAAGAGTTTCCCGGTTACTCGAGTCTTTCCAATACGTGATCTTTTGGACAAGTCTCTCCCTGCAATATGTAACATCTTCAAAGACACTTGCATCTTTGTGTGTCCCAATACTTTGGTGTTACTACCGGACGGACATTACACATGAAGCAATATTCTAGAAAAGCCGTCGCTTCGGATCCTCTCGAATGGAAAGACTATTGATGAGGTAAGGGCAAAAGGAATGGAGGGTAGATATTACATTCCTAGTGCAACAGAGTATCAGTTGAAGTCTTTCTTCCCTCGCTGTCTCTTCCCTTCTCCCTATAAGTGATCCTTGCGAAGTCGAGGGAGATCGTTGTATGTGACCCTCCCTACTTCTTCAACAAGCCACCTTCCCAGGGAGGTCGAAGAAAACGAACTACCTTCTTGAAGGATATTGCAGGCACAGACTCGTATATCCCTGGGCAACTGTCTATCGAAGTTGGCATATCCATAAGTATCGAATGCAACCAGCGTGGCTCGCGTCTGAAAGGAGACGACATCACACGACAAGATGGAAAATATCTATCCCTAAATTTTTGATTGGGAACAACCAGGTGTCTCACGAGCGGTCTTTGAATGTCAGGGGGGGGAGGAGACGGGCTGAGTTATTTCGGTCATTCGTTTGCCTCGCGTCTTAGTAGGGAAAGTTGCTACTCGGCCCTCTTTGTCGTGGGCAAGTCTCGTGGTCATTCAACCTCCTTTGGCATATAAAGTCGTTTTCGTCGCATCTCCACCAAGTCTTCCTGGAGGTCTTTGACGGAGTCGAGGAAGGGGGTCTGGTTTCTTTCATCCATCGCGACGTTTTCAGTGTCATCCCTAATCGCAGGGGGGCTGTTCGAGAACAATCTCTAAACGAATTCTGAAGACCCAGAAATAACTCCGGTGTCTTTTATTTTCTTTCGACCTTTTGACTGATCAGTCGTTAGACATCGACCTCCCCTCACTCTTGCTCTTGCACTTCCCCTTTCCATAGCGCACCAAGTTTTGACAGATTCATCAGTCGTGTTGTTCACGGATAGCGAGTATGATGGAATCGAGGGCAGGCTGGGGACGCCTGCGACAGCTCAACATCAACAAAATTCTCGCGCTCGTGAAAGCTCCGTCGACGACGGTGGAGCATGACGGGAAAGGGGCCTTCTGCATCATACACACGCCCGACCGACCAGTCTACCCCACTCCTGCAACGTTGGTGCCGACGGACGATGAGTGTATGCGATTCCTGGAGGCTTTCAGGTCACCCAAGAAGTTCGGCTGGGATGACGACGACGACGACGACATCGAGGAAGAAGACCCAAAGAAAGTGACTGGGGCGAATATGGCCGAGTGGAAACCGTATCCGCCACTTAAGGACTTTCCTCGGCCTCCCCAGACGGCGAGAACGAATGTCATTCGGGCCGAGCAGACGAAGCCGGGGAGGAGGAGTATAGTACCGTGCGGAACAGGGAACCAACAGCAACCACACGCAACTATCGCTGACGAGAAGTCGTGGAATGACGGTGAGCGGAGGAATGAGAGCATGCGCGGAAATCCGGTTGGGGGCGTCGCGACACTCGAGGATGCCCAAACGCGATTGAGGATGCTGGCATCCCATTCCCATCGGAAGGCGGCACGTTGGTCGGACCAGAGTCAGGATTCGGGATATGAAGAGTTGCCGTGGTGTCGCGGCCCTCGAGATACAAGACCGAAGGTGACCATACCTACGCACCAGCCGCAGAGTCCCCAGTCCACGACAGAGCCGAGATCTCGGTGGTCTTTGAGTCCACATGGTCCCAGGGAGCACTGTTCCCCGTTAGCGATGCACTGCCAGCAAGACGACAATATCGGCAAGAACCAGAACCTGTCAAGAGGAGAATCATCAGAGAATGCAGACCATATCGCATACAGCATTCTTGCTACCTCAGAAGACGAGGAGAAGATCGCTCCTTCGCCGAGCTGTCCGGTGCTGCCGCCACTTGGTAAACCTTCGGAACAACTGGAATCTACTCAATCTCCAGTGGAGGCCCCCGAACAGGAAAGGCGGCGCATCACCTCGGGGTTCCAGGACTGGCAGACGCCAGAGCAGAGAGAGGAATTCGAGCGGAACATCGAGGTGTACGGAGATTGGGCCGAATACTATTTCCAGACGGACAATTTCGAGGACAATCGACACAGCGAGAAGCGAAAGAAGAGAAGATCACCAGGGGAAGCCACCATCTCCGATACCCATACAGCGAGGAGTCTAGAGACTGTATGGGAGGACATGGGTCCCGATACGCCCGATAGTTTCGGGAACCCGAACCCGTGGTTCAATCAGGGGGGAGTAGTGGTCGAGGGAGAAGACTCATCTCGGCGACTGGAGGGGGAGCCGCGGCTTGAATCTGGGACGCTGCCAGACGATTTCCTGGAGAACGAACACGATTTCTTTAATGGCGACACGACAGGTCCCAGCAGCCGAACGTTGAAGCAGCGGGGAGCGCGACCTCTAGAGCCTGAATCGGGAGCGATACAGCCGAGCGCTTGGGTCGCTGAAGGGGGCATTCCTCGAGGGTTCTACCTCGAGAATGACGGCCTTGATCTTGTGCGAATCCATCAAACACAGAACCGCCTTCAAGATCGATGGAAACCGCCGCCGCACGTTAAGCCGCGGCGACCAGATGTGTTCTACGAGGCCGCATGGCATGCCATCTTGAACAAGCCTCTGCCTGTTAACCCCGGTCTTGGAGGAATGATTTGAACAGGGGGATGGGGAAAGCTGTGGACAGGGACTTAATCTTCAAAGACTTCCCTTCAGAATAGAGGGATATGGTGGGGTGTTGTCTGTCAGGACTCGAGCCTCTGGTCGATGGACACTGGCTGGCGTCGAGACGGTGTGCCGAAATGCAGTTATACATGCGACTCGGATGATACATCATTCGCTTTTAATAATATTCAAATAACTGAGATATACATCTACCGAAATTCCGTGGTCCAAGCTCCGGGATGCTATCAAAATCCTCAAACGCGTTTCAATTCTTTGTCTTCAAACTATTTCTGTACTCTCGCCGTGGCCTCCCTTCCCATCACCCCTAGCATGTTTGACTGAGATAGAAGCTTAAAGGCACTGTTTCAGCCATGCTCTTCGAAATTCCTTAATGCCCCGCATTCTCCCTTCCCTTTTCCGCAAAGCCCGCACCATCTCCCCTCACCTCGGCACTCTTCTCCCTGCGACGCGTGACCTCCCTTCGGCCCTCAACGAGTTGAGATGGATCCGCGAGCACGTCCACTTGACCGCTACCGGTGATGGCGGCAATGCTGCGTCCGCTGCGGCACTCGAAAAACGCGTCGCCGCCCTCTGCGCCCGCCGTGGCCGCGGTGTACCCTTGCAGTACGTTCTCGGGACCCAGCCCTTCGGCACCCTGGACCTCCGCTGTCGCCCCGGAGTTCTAGTCCCTCGGGCAGAGACGGAAGCCTGGGTCCTGCATCTTGCCGATCGTCTCAAGGGTAGGGCAAGGGACGCCGACCTCTCGTCACTCCCAGACCGCCGCCGCCGCTCCGACGACCAAGAGGAGGGGGGCCTGAGAATCGTCGATTTCTGCACCGGCACCGGTTGCGTCGCCCTTGGTCTCTTCGCTGGCCTCCAGTCCACCCACCCACATCTGCACGTCCGCGGCGTTGACGTTTCGACGCGAGCCGTGAACCTCGCGCGCGAGAACCTGCGCATCAATCTGGAGGCTGGGAACCTTGCCGCTCCCCTCGCCCCGAAGCAGAGTTTCGCGTTTGGGCAGGCAGATGTCTTCGACGACGAAGCGATGCGAGGCCTCATAAATACCGGAGACGAAACAACGCGAGGGGGTCGGGGTTACGATGTCGTCGTCGCGAATCCACCTTACGTATCCCGAGACGTGTGGGCGCACGGTCGCGGGGACCTGGGCTACTCAGTGCGCAAGTACGAGCCGTCGCTCGCGCTGGTTCCGGGCGAAGGTGTACCGTCGTATGAAGGATGCGCCCACGAAGACGTCTTCTTCGCTCGCCTGCTGGATGTCGCGGGCTGGCTCGGCGCTAGGGTCGTGCTGTTTGAGGTCGGGGATGAGGCGCAGGCGGCGAGAGTGCTGCAGCTCGTAGCGCGGAAGATGGCGTGGCGCGGCGACGAGATAGATGCGCGGTGCGAGGTCTGGAGGGACTGGCCGGACTTGCCTCCCACAGACGGTGAGGCGGTGCCACTGCGGGTAGAACATGGCAAGGAGAGCAGGAACGTCCCGGTTAAGGGGAGTGGAAAAGTTCGATCTGTTCTCATTAAACCAGATGTGCGCCCGCACGTCAATATGTCTCGGCAGTCATTATAATACTCTATCTATTATGCTCTAGTATATACCCACTCTATTGGCGATCCGGATCTCTACTTTTACCCAATCCTGTTTCATAGAATCTTATTCACAGCCAATGCCCCCGTACCTTCACCGTCTAGTTGTAGGAAACCACCCTCCTCGATCTTCTTCTTCCACTTCCCGCCCGCGTACCTTGCTAGGATTATGGTCATCCGTAGAGGAATCCGATCGCTCGACTCGTGCTCCGCTGTGGTGTCGGAGACGGGCGTGAATGTCCACCTCCCGAACGCCCAGTTGAGAATGAAACGAGAGCTATCGTGAGGCGGCGTTGGGTTGGCGTCGTCCTGATCCGAGTCGCGGGCCGTTCCCGACACGGTAAGGACGGACTTGATTCGATAGACCTCGTCTTTGGGGGCCGCTTTGAGAAGCGAGAGAAGCTTGCCGGCATCGACGCCGGCGCCTTTGGCTCCGCCGGTGAGCTCGACGGACAGCACTTCCACCTCGGTTTGGTGGTCATGCTGGTGACCGTGATCGTGTTTCTCGTGAGAAGAAGGCTCACGTTTGGTGTGTTCTTCCGTCAGGTCCCGGGCGAGGCCGCCGTCGATACCGAAGATCAAGTCAGCTTCTACCCAACCCTTGCGGCTCTTGACCCAGGGAGTCTCCACCTCGAGATCGCCAACGCGGTCGAGCACCTCGTCGAAGCGGAGCTCGTCGCAGGTTTCCCATTTGTTGAAGACGATGAGGTCGGTGTAGCGGGCCTGGTTGCGGGCCGTCCAGCTGGTATCCTCGTAGCCCTTCCAGTTCTCGACGTCGATGGCGCTGAGGACGCCGTCGAGCACGTAGGCGCCTCCCGTCTCGCGCGCCAGACGGTTGATCTCGAAGACGAGGGTGGCGGGGAAGGCGGAGCCGGAGGTCTCGATGACGATGCGGTCCGGGTTGATGGTCGACCTGAGTTCCTCGAGGGCTACGTCGAGCTGGCCGACGAGGTTGCAGCAGATGCAGCCGTTGAGAAGCTCCCGGACGCCCGAGACGGCGGCTGACGAGGCGAGCTGCGAATCGACTGCCAGATCGCCAAATTCGTTCTTGATGAGTGCGAGTTTGTAGTCTGGGTTCTTGGCCTTGAGCTGGGGCAGGAGGTTAAGAATGAGAGTCGTTTTTCCCGAGCCCAAGAAGCCGGTAATGATGGTGATGGGAATTGGTGCCATGCTGTTGTTGTTGTTGGTGGTGGTGGTGGTGCTGGTGGTGTTGGGTACAGATAAAGGGACCGGCCGCTCGGAAAGATGCTGAAGCCAATGGGTATCAAAGAGAATGAGCGACGCCAAAAGCAGTAAGACGAAGTAAACAAACGAAGATGACCAGTATCCAACGGATAAAACGACCGTGGGTGTGAAATGGCGCCGAAGTTATGGAACAGTCAAGGGAAAAAAGGAACGCCACAGCGGTGCATCTCATTAGGAGAGGATGAGTATTACCCCTCCGAGGGGTTAGTAATCGGCCCAGAAAGGCACCTGACTCTCTCGGTCCGGAGTCCCTCCCGATAACGGAGAGTTCCCGTTCCCACCAAAGTTTTACCTTATCTTAGCGTCGCCAAGAGCCGCCGTTCAATTTCCACCGATATGACGTCATGGTAATTGTCTTCGCTCCGGAGCACGAAGTACGTGTACTTCCATTGACGAATATCCGTATGCAAGGTACCTTACTCATTCCCCAAAAGGCCCAGACTTCAGTCTCACACCAACAGCGTCATCGTCATCTCCAACTGAATGAAGGAAGGTTCGTTTACGCAAGCCCTCGGCTCATTAATCCAATTACATAGTTAGCAGACGTTCCACCTTGGACTTCCCAGTGCGCGCTCCCAGATGGTGGCATGGTGCCTCAATATCCGTATTTGTCCCTTTCCCAGTCGTCCCGAGAGTATTCAAACTTTCTCCTTTCCCACTGCTCATACATCTCTGCTACCCTCTAAATACACTGTACTGCATTGGGTTTCAATTCCAACGCTGTACCAGTGCTTATTGCCAATCAACAAGCCGAAGCGGAACAACGATTATTTCTTACGGCCCCGCTGGATTCGTATCCGTATAACCACAACCGAAAAGACTCGCATTCGTTCTCCATTTCGAAACAGCTATCATGTCCCAGGAGGCTGAGATCAAGGCTAAGGCCGAAGCCCCCAACGCAAGCTTCAAGGAGCAGCTAGACCGGAAGGCAGACGAGGCTCAAGAGCCTTCACAAAACAACGACAATGCCGTCACCACCAACACCGTTAACCCCATCATCAAAAAAGGTTAGTACTACCTAAGTATCCTCGTCGTGTTACGCCATTTCTATCTCCCAGGGCGTTGTATATCAGCCATGGCGTCCACTCCAAACCAATCTTTCCATTCTCTTGCTGACATGCATCTTTGTTGTAGTAACCGAATACATACCCGCCACCAAGTCCGTACTGGGTGATCCTCAAGATGAGAAAGAGAAGACAGGAGAGGAAGAAGCCCCGCCATCTGAACCCCCCGAACGTCCTATACACGATGACAAGATCGAAGTATTCCTGAGGGAACAGCATAGAACCCAGGTTAATAAGGCCCTGAATTGAAAAACATAGGCCTTGTCCGACGAGACCCATCCGGAGAGACGTGGGGGTGATAATGCTGTCTGTTATCATGCGGGCACCGAATACTGCGTCAGGCCATCAGGGGTAGCATGTAATGCTTCTTAACTGTATTGCAAGTATGTCGAATTTCGACCATGTAAAACTACATATTACTATACCCTAATGGATGCCAATACCAAAACGCCACAATATGCTTCTAAATGACGGGTGAGACCAATCGACCACTAAAAAAAGGAAGAAAAAAATAAAAGAAGAAAAAAGGCATCCACCCAACTCCCCAGCAAACCCAGTCAACCCTGATTTTCAGTGCAATATCATTTCCCCGGGTGCTGAGGGCTTAAGCAAGTATCAGCGCCGCAACAACGACGACCTTCAACCACAGCAGCCCCGGTCCTTGTCTGGTGGAAGGTGCCGCAGCCTCAACAAACGCCTCCATGCCAGCCTCGGCCGGAGGAATTCCGCCACGTGCCCCAGAGACTTCATCATCTTCATCACCGGGGGCAGGTGCCGCACCAGGGGGCACCTCGTTGCCAGTCTCGGGCTCCAATACCTCGTCGGGCACATCCGTAGGCGTGACGGGAGGTACTGCGGGCACGTCCTCGGAGAACCCGGGTGTCTCTGATACATTCGGCAGTGGCAGTAGCGTCACCGTAATCTCGGCCACCTCCTCGGGAGGTACCTCTTCTGCAGGCGGTGCCTCGACGTCTGTCGGTACCGGGGCGTCGTTCACTGGGACCGGCTGGGGGTCGGCCGCCACGCCGTTGCCGTTGATGATGACTCCATGGGTCTGCTCCGTGCTGGGGGCGGTGATGGTTACGGTTACTTCTCCTCCCGCGCAACGGTTACAATCTACCGTGGTCTCGAGGAAGCAAGGGGGGAAAGCCGGTCGGCGGTAGTCGGCCGGATTGCCGGTGATGGTCTGGGTGATGGTGTAGGTGGCTTCCCATGTGGACTCGTGGTTGGCGGCTAGGAGGTTGGTGGTCCAGACCGTGGTGTAGATGGTTTCTGTGGTGAATGTGTAAACGGGCTGGCAGTTGTCCGCTGCGAGGGACGAGAGTAGCATCGGGTTAAGACTAGGAGACAGTTAGCCTTGACGTCGACGTCGGTCTGCATGTATGTTGGTTATCCCCTACCTCATAGTGGAAGCACGTAGCGAAGATAAGTTCGAATCTGGGAAAATGTGCTGAAGAGAGATGACTGCGAAAGTAGCTGTTATGTCTCCCGGTGAGGACGACTTGACAGCTGAAGATCCGATGATGAGGCAACTCAAATACAGTCTTGGTTCCAGGGAATAGAACGTCTTTAAATGGTCGGACGACATGAACGAAAAGCACAAATAGAGGAGGTAGGACACCAACCTACGAGCCGCAGTGAGGCATGGGAAAAGTTGACATGCATTGACGTGAAATAACGTAGCTGAGACCATTGCACTCCCAGCCGCCCGGAATCTCAGCCCATGGTCGCGATCCGCCACATAGCAGCCAAGTTCAGGGACTATCCGACAGGTCTATGGCGCTTGCATTCTACAACCCGGAGAGCATTCCGATAAAGGCATTGTTCACTCCTTAATGGCGAGTGCCGAGAAATCGACGACCAGTAGCGAGACCAGAGGCGACTGAGGTAACAAAGGTGGTGGTTGGGCAAAGGTCCGACCACGTACATTCCTCGGGTCGGCATATTATGGTCGTTAATAAGTGCTTGACCCGCCTGCCACAAAGGCGAGCTGTGCACGTGGACGTCAAACCGGCTGCAAGCAAGAACGGGCTGGTGGGTTATGGTGGCTTTAATAGGTATCAGCGTTGAGGCTGAGCCGATGTTTCACTCCGAATGAGTCGACCTCGTACTGGAATGTGCAGAAGAAATATTGTCCGCTTCCACGCCACTTCTTCAGTCTTGCTTGAATTTAATCGATCCGCGGATCAGCACATCGTCAGCCAAGGATAGGAAAAGGCACCATCCATCTGGACGGAATTTCAAGCAAAATAGTTGTCGAAAAAGAGCAGAGACAACCAACCGTCACCACATATCAAATATCACTTGCGGAATGGTATGTCCCCCATACTCAGCATCTCTCCTCCACTCTGGTTTACTAGAGGAGAAACTTCCTAATTTCAAGGGATTTTAATCTGCAGAGCATCTTCAAAGGTTTGAAGAAGGCAACGCGACACCGTGGGATACGTGGTGCTGGTCGTGGCAGCTCTGGTTACTTTTTGATCTGAAGAAGAAAAAAAGAAGAAAGGAAAAGGGAAAGGAAAAAAATCCAATTCTGCGATGTTTGTAGTCTGGTGGAATTGACGCTAGTTCGAGGTGGGAAGGCGGTGTGGTACAGATTGGCGAGACATTGGACCGATTGACAGATTACCTTACGTAAACCAACTCCATCAGGAATCAGGAATACCGTATGTAATTACCTACCAACCGAGCCGCCTTGAAGCTGAACACTGGAGACCCATGTTTCTCATCTATTGTCATCTGAAAGGTCCGCCACAGAAACCAAGAAAAAATGTCGCCGACAATAGCATGCATCTCAAACATAAACACACCATCCATCCGTCCAGGCCAACGACTAAAATATCTTCTTCCCCGCGGCAATGGCCTTGCTGGAGTTGGTTCCCAGGTACCGACCCTTCACCCACCACACAAGGAGGCTGTACAGTTTCCATGTGCCCATCTGGCCCGTTGCCCGGCCTCGACCGAGCGTGATGGCTCCGACCACCTTGTTTTCGGGGACGTATTCCTCGATCTCGCCCGCGATCTCGCCCTCGCCGCTAACTAGGAATGTTTCGAGGACCTTCACCAGGTGCTGCGCCTGTCGCTGCGCGAGGTACATTGTCGATTCCTCCAAGTTGCCGGCATCTCCTACCACGAACAGGTTCTTGTGACCCGGCACCCGCAGGTCCTTGCCCTGCTTGACGCACCCGTTCGCATCCAGCATGTCCTTGGGAACGAAGGACGTGTTGGGTATGACCCCGACGGTTGGGAAGTACGCGTGGGTTTCGAGCGTCTCGACCTCGCCGGTTGTTTTGGTCAGCTGGAGCGTCGTCGTCTTCTTCTTCCCACCGGCCCCGGCCTGCGTCACGCCGGTGACACGTGCGTTGGTGATGATCTTGGCCCCCAGGCGCTCAATCTCCTTCTTGGCTCCCTTGCGCACGTCTTCGCGGAATTGGGAGCCCAGGGGGAGGTCCTTGTCGATGACGAAGTAGATTTCCTTCTTGCCCCCGTACTCGAAAGCGATTTCGCCCACCGTCTCGACGCCCGTTGTGCCGCCACCGGCTACAACCACCGTCTTGGCCGCGGCGAGCTGATCTCGTGCCGCTTGCAGCGCCTGCTTGGTCTTCTCGGTTGTGTCGAGGTCCTTCCATGGCATGTCGTCCCGTGCCCTGCTGCCCGTGGCGACGACCAGGGCGTCGTAGGAGATGCACCGGTGTCCACCATCGTTGGTCGCTATGACGACCTTGTTCGCTTCAGGCTCCAGAGACTCGGCTTTGCCGAAGACGATCTCCCAATTCTCCTTCGGATATTGCTCGAAGCCGGGTTTTAGCGGGGTGAAGAGAATGTCGTCGGAGAATTGGCCTGGGACGATTCCCCGGACGGACGCCAGGTTCCAGTATCTGCATGCGGGAGAGTGTTAGTGCGTTGGCGCCTTCTTCACGCGAATTCCCCCCGTGTCGCGTCGCCCCGATCTTACTGCCAGATACAGGAAAATCCGATTGGATAATGCGGTTGCTCACTGATCTGTATTGGGCGTCACCAAAATGACCTTGATATCTTTGGCTTTGGGGACAGCGTTTTGCAGGATATAGTGGGTGATAGGGACACCCACCATTCCCGCCCCCAGAACTATAAGAGTCTTCATACCGAGATCGTGGAAGAAGAACCTTTCGAAGATCTGGCCGTAGAGTCAAAGAAAGAGGCTGGGGCCGAGCGAGGAAGAAATAGATATAGAGTCGAGACGAGGGAAGGGGCACGAGAGGGCTGTCTGGCTTATAAGAAGACTAATGTCTATACAGTCTATGTCTCTTTTCGATGCTTGTTCATTCACCTAGGCGAACCGATGAAAATAAATACCGAACTCAACAGGCAGTTGGGCTGAAGCAGGCGCTGCGTTGTTATAGCTAGAGCTTTCATTGCGCCTCAAGTTGATAATCACCTTCGCGATAGAATGCGAAATGCTAATTATGGCCTTGCTATGCTAAATCGTGAAGCGATGCATGCCTCTGCGTAGCAGGGCCGTGCGCGCGGCAGCGGCAGGGGGGTGAATGGGACGCACCACTTGTACTCAGTAAAAGCAACCGCGCGGTGCGGACTTTGGATATTACGCTTGGTCGCATCCTGAGCTATGTATGGTAATCTCCGACCCTGCAGTACGGACTGACTACCTGATCTCCGCTCGCTCCACCAACATGGAGACAGGCAGGGCAAGTCGAGACGGACCGTTTCGTCGACGGCAGGGCGAGGCGAATCACGTGACTATATTTCTTCACGGTTGAGGCACCGCTAGAATAGGTCGTAGTATGATTAATTCTGGAAGAGGATCTCGATGAGGTGGTTAATTGTATAAGGTACCTTAAGGTAAAGGACATGGCTACACGTGAGTATAACATAAATTAGGGGTTAATTGGCCTTTTATTTACTCGCTGTTCTGAAATCTTCAAGTACCGTCTCGTTGAGATCGTGGAAGTGTGCCTATTTACTTTCCTTGATGTCTTCTTCCTGGATCTGGAGATACTGGGCTGTATGCCCGTGATAAGACTCCGCAAGCGACGGCCGCTGGCTGCACAGCACACGAAAGTTCTCTCCCCCATAATTAGTATCTACCGTGAGCTTTTGGTCAGTATACTCAGCTAGGATGCTATGCCATAACACACTCAGCTTCTTGACGAAGTTGCGATAGCTCTCAGGTTGAGAGTCCTTGTCGCTGACCACACGAGAGAATATTGGATAGTGAGCGGAGCGAGCTGCGTGTCCCAGGTGTCGCCAGTCAATCTCTCTCCCGTAACTCATGCTTCCTAGGACTAGCTGTGCAAGAGTGAGTTGCCTTCGGGAGTTCGATGTCGGACAACTGTGCCAGCGATAATCGATCGCTAGATCCGAAAGTCTAGCCCATATAGCCACTTGATGGGGCTTCCTCCCCGATGGTTTCTGTAGCTCCATCGATCTCGGTGCTGCATCACGTCTCCAGAATGTTGCAGTGTTGTGGCATCATGATATGTCAACGGGACTTTGCTCCCCCCTCCATAATGTCGTATATGAAGCTCGGACTGCGTAGCCACTATGCTGCGAGCTGCAAGTTGTAAACCAAGTCCGGATTGTTTCCCTCCGCCATTGTGAATATCTCCTCGGATGTAATAATAGAGACGGGGTATTGGGGCAATTAAACTGCCAATACAACCCACCGCCCCTCCAATTATCATGGTGCTAGGTGGTATCTACTAGCGTCGGTGTGGTGTCGTCAAGATAAAGTGAAGGAAAAAGGTCATCTTGGAACCGATGGACTGCAGCAAGGACCGGACCCTCAGCATATTCGGGAGACATAAAGATAACGCCGCCAGGCACAATGCCATCATGATCTCAATTGATGAGACAATCTCTCCCTATCTCCATAGTCCCCCAACAAGTTATCTTTCGAGGAAGAAGAGAAGCAAGCATTGTCCGCTAATATCGCGACCATCTTAATGACGCCCTCGGGTGGCGCGCGCTGGGACGGCCTTGTTGGTCGTCGTAGCGGGAGAGCATGACATCAAGGCGGGGAAAGAGCCTCGAGATGCTTTCCACGCCTTCCATTTTGCTGCTCCCGGAAGTTAGCGCACGGAAGAAGGGGAAACAGGTTACGTTCCTAATGGATCGTGGAGATGGTCATCTCCATCTGCACCGGCGCGCTTCCGTGCGCGCTGGCACATCTTACGACAGACATCCTCAGGCTCAGACACGAGTGCTACCGATACCGTCACATTTGTCTCAGATGCTACTGCGGGTAGTCGGAGATCAAGCTGGAACTCAAACCGAGACAGGCATCGTAGGTTGTAAGGGGTGTTCGTAATCAATACGCAGGTGAGTCGAGTAAGGGCGAGTGTGACGTTTTCCGTCATGCTGTTTCCCAATAGACCCAGTAACATGTCGGGGCTGGTATTTTGAGTTTTTTAGCGCCCGATTATTGAATAAAGCACACGGGATAATTGCAGTAAGGCTGAAAAATGCAATGAGGCGCCTGGCGATGTTTGGTCTGTGGGTAATTACAGAGTAAGATGAAGCATGTCGTCACGTGTGACGACAGGTGCTGCCGATCGCGGAAAGCAATATGTCATGAGATGGATGCAGTATGCCTCACAAAACAAAAGAAAGAAAGAAAAAAAGGGTAGCATCCCTCCTCAACCGGACACTTTGTGGCAATGGGCGGTGAGGGACAATATAACGATAGGGTTAAAGGTCTATACCTACTAGGGCGTCTGACATGATAATACAGTCACGTCGTCACACCGTTTGATTACGAAGCAGCCGCCTTAGGCCAGAGGGAAACGGTGACGAAAGAAGGCACATACGTTGTATCGAGTCGCGGTTTTATCAAGTGGAGACCGTATAAATGCTGTGATTAGACAAAAATTGAATGATTAAGCATATCTGCTGACCTCACAGGTCGCCTATGAACGACATCGGACATGGCACTTGGGTTTTTGTGAAAGAAGGATGAGTACATATGTCTCCCGCGCAATTTTGGCTCAATGGGTTAATGCGTCAAGCCATGGCCCTAAATTTCGCCTCTGAAATCTGAAATTTGCAATCATCGTCAGCCCATGTCGTCAAAAAGATGCACCGGGCGGCGACACACATTGCGGGTAGCATGACGGAAGTGGTCCCATTTCGTACCCGCCTACCATGTCTATGGTACTCCATACGATTATAGGAGGGAGTGTGTTGGGTCGGCTCAAGCGCCAATGAAAACTCCTTGGTCGTATATGATCATAATACAACTTGGACCCAACACAAGTACGAATAGGTAAAGGATGACGATGGTCTTGGGTATCTTGCCTACTCCGTAGAGGTCGCAAAATTGCAAGCTTCTTTTGGCGGACTTGTAATTAGGGGACAAGGGTCCCGGAGAAGGGAACTCTCGACCGGAGATCTCTCAACCGGAGATACTCTCGACCGGAGACGCCCATCCGGAGCGCCTCAGATCTACTCCGTAAGTCGAGACAGCTCTTCACAACATGTCAAATTTAAATTCGCCCATGGCCACCACTGGCAAGAAACCCCAGAATTTGTAGGGAGGAACGCCAAAGGCTTCCAGCCTTCATACCCGTTCCGAATGCAAACCATTTACGGATACTGCGTACTTTGTCCAACGAGACTGGTGAACAGATCAGCCCCTCCCCCAATCAGGCCCTCCACAAATCATTGGCGGGGAAGTGGCCCTAGCACATAGTAAAGAAAACGCCAAGACTTGTTAACCAATGACATCATAAAGCTTTGCCTGAAGGCGACCATATGTACCTAGATACTCGAGACTTGTCACAAATACCTGAAGGGGAGGGCCGTAATGCATACTTCCGTCCTCCTGTCAACTCTTACTGAAGGTGGGAAGGCATGCGAATAAGGTATGCGGGTTTGTGTAAGTTGTTTGTACTTCGGACGTACATACCTAGGTGCCCTGCAGATTTTGTCCATTCGCCAAGACGCTAACGCTGCAAGCAGGTGCTTCGACCCGCCCTTAGTCGCCTCCGACCACTAAAATAACACTTAGTCGCGTGATTCTGACTTCACGGGCGCCATTTGTGTCAAGGATTTGCAGGGTCCTACCCTTTTCGACATGTTTCTTTCCTCCATTTCCATTTCCCTCACACCCTGTTCCAGGCCCATTGGCAGTACTCGAGCCCCCCTCACCCGGTGTTGTCCGTCTTGTCCCAAATTCCCGTTGCCTAATAAGGTACCTACCTACCTTAGGTACTGAGCACGTCCATTCCTAGGTACCTACACCAGTACCGAATCCTAGTGTAAAGCCTGCTCCCACACCTAAAGAACAAACCTCTCCAGGCTTGGCCCCAACTACTTCGTACTTTCGTCCATACCTCACACCCCCCCTTTCTCAGACATCATTCAGATCGTCGTTCGACCCGCCCTCTTTGTATTGCCCGTTGCTGCCGTGCGACGTATAGTACGAAGTTATGCCGATAATTACTCCTGTAGCATCCTCTCAAATGGCTGTGAAGTCAGAGGGGTGTGTTGTCTCCAAGTGTAGGCATGGGACGACTAGGGACTGAACGTACACGTAAATTAATGAGTGCGCCTGAAGAGAACCCCTGTATCCACTGGAGAAAGATGTTCTCGTCTAAGTGGTCAACTGGCTCTTCCACCTAGTCTTACCTACACCGTCAGTAACCACCTATGAGGCTGCCGCCACCCAGCTGTACACTTTGCCCTTGGCCAAGCTATTAAAGGACTCCCCCCCCCCTTGCCCCGACTCTGCCATACCTGTCCCATCCCGTTCATGATTCTACAGAAGTAGACGTGAAAAGCTGTCTATCCCAAGGTCGAGTACCAAACAACACCGAAACGTCACTCCAATCCACTAAAGTTTTCTTTCTGTCAATATCGGCGATCGAATCTATCACACTATCAAGCGTTTTTTTAACTCCTCTTACGTCGCTCTCGAAAAGTCATTTCGAGCACTCTTCCTCTAAACCTCCCAAATACAAATCCATTCGGTCTTGGGCCAAATCTCGCCATGCCAGGTCATCAGGACGGTATCACCACAATGACCGGGTCCGTTCCGGTTTCTCAGTCTCCTCCTGCCGATCTATCCACCTACCAACGGTCCATGCACCAACACACCAAGCGCCTACTGGAAGCTGCCGGCCAGTCTTCCCACAGGAGGCCACAGGGCGCCCGGTCAGCGCCCAGCGCATCGTCAAGTACGAACTCGGCCAGCTTGTCCACCTGATGATTGCCTCGGTATAAGAAGTGTTGTCAGTAGGATGTCGTCCCGCAATACTCGCCATTTTCCTCCACATGTCGATCCGAACTGCTTGGACACGAAGGGGCGACTCGCACATACTTTTGAACACATTTCCCAGCAGCAACCATGAGAGGACGAGAAGCCTGGCAGTTTGATCATTACGGGGGCGAATCCCAACATTCCGAAAGGACGGATGCACCAGCTGAAATCTGGGCCTAGAGATGATTGAAGTTTTATCTTGGGTTCACGTACATGCGCGGCGTTTGGGCGTTTTGGAAACGTATTTGAAGACTCATCACGAACAGCAACACGAGTCTAGTCAGCATACACGATCAGTGGCAATGAATGGTGTTCTCTTTTTTCGTCCACTACCATGATCACTCCTGACCTCCCATTTTCGTTGCCACCATCGCCGCCCGTGTTTTGCCTTGAATAGAAATCGTCGCATCTTCATCCAACGGCCTAAATTTCGGTGGTAGGAGCTTGCTCCTTGGGAAAGTATACTGGCTTCGTCCGACCAGAAAGATATCACAAAGGTTAACCTCGGAAGCCATTCGCTACGGGGGTGCTTGCACAGGAACTTGGAAATCATGCAGGGGCCTTCCGACACACACACACGTGGTAGCCCCTCACCGCATGACAAGATGAAGTGGGGTTGTTAAAGATGGCAGAGAAGGCATCGTCTTCATAAGTACGGCCAATATCGTGGGTCGATGCATATCGGTAGTTTATTTAAAAAAGGTCGTGCATACTATGTGGACATCCCCCAGTGAGAGATGAACCTCGTGTCCCAAATGGCCATAATAACGCCCGTCGTTCCAAAACAGAAGTTCGCACTTGTCGACCCCGTGCCTTTCCTTTGTCTTCCTTCTTCAATACCGGTCCATGCATCAACATTCATACTAGTGGTGTCTTCTTTCTGATGCCCAGCTTGGCTGCGTAGTCCACTTTCTTCTTGGGCGCTCTTTTGAAGGTCGGTGGCCGAGGTGGCGGGGGCATAGCAGCGGCGTCTGACTGCTCACTGCGACTCGAGGATAGAGAGACGACAGAAGAAGATGATGATGACCCATCCACGGTGCCAACTAACGGTCCATGTCCGCCTTGCTCTTCTACCACCACTTCCACGGTCTCCTCTGTTCCCAACGTTCCTCCCCTGGCGCGCTGCTTCGCCGCCGCGAAAGCCCGGCGTGCGGCCTCCTCGTCCTCCCGCTCCTGCCGTTCCCGCTCCTCGTCCTCGGGCCGCACGATATAGTCAGCAAAGTCGACGCCGTCCTTCTCGCTGCGCCGGATGCGGGCGTTCCGCTGGCGAATCTCGTCGAGGGCATCGGCGGCGGCCATCTCGGCGCGGGCGTCGGCGTTCTTGGCTTCGAGGTCGGCCATGGCGTCGCGCTCCTCTGCCGTTTCGCCTGCGGCCTCGGCCTCCTCGCGTTCGAGCCGGTCGAGGCGCTCTTCCACTGTTTCTTGCTCGGACGCGCGGTTGCGCCAGGGTTCGAAGTTCCGAACGGCGCCTTTGACCATGGCGTATTCGTTTCGTGCGGGGTCCGTCCTAAAGATGATTTCTGAACCCGTCTTTTGTTAGTCTCGAGGGTCTTTCTCATATATAAGGAAGTGTGTGGGGAATGTAAGGGACCTACCAGCCGAGCACCGCGTGCACTTGATGGAGAAGAAGAAGATTTGGATCCCTAGGTAGCGTTCGTTTGGGGGTGTCTCCTTGCGGCTGTTGAACTTTCGGCCTTTGTAAATGTACTACCGCATTTCAGTTAGCACGTCATGATAGCCTTGGATAGAAGTGATGTCGAGAATGCAAAGACTTACCTCGCCGCATGTAGTACACTTCATGCTCATCGGCGCCATGATACGGACAGCCTGGACTTTAGGTCCTGTCTGCTTTGGCCCGCGCCTCCGGGCGATCTCGCCCGGATCGAAATCGGGGGGGTAGTACTTGGTGGTCACTTTCCGCTCAGACATGGTGGGCGACTGCCGGAGGGTAGCTGACTAGACGTTCGGGCTGCGTCGATTACAAAGTCGTAAGGCCGTAGATGCTAAATGAAAGAGCGAGTCGTAATGTCCGAGATTGTAAGTCGTGGGTGGGAAGAAGACGTGTGTGGTTATGTTTGGGCGACGTTTGTAGTTCAGAGTTGAACTTCGATATGTTTCTCCTTATAATAAGCCTTGTACGAAGTACCTTTAAGTTTGTCGAGGATAAGAGTACGAAGCGAAGTATGTGACCCACACTGCCGCCACCAGCCACTACCTTAGGCCTGGCTAGCCAGCCTTGTCCCGTGACTTCAAGATCATTATGTCAGCTCCTTCTGGACGGAAGGCGATATGGTGCTGACATAATTCATGGGACCGTTTCGTGGCGAGACATCTCCCAATATGGAACCTCCGTTTCGCCAACGTTCTGTGCCGTGTGCCTCCAACTGGGTGAACTTCTACGGAGCAAGCTTGGCGGGACGACTTCGTTCTGGATCTCCGTTCGCTTCGTCCTATCCCGGACATTCTGCCTTCTCCTCCTTCACATGCTTCGGATCACCAGACTACGGATTAGGGGTCTTACATGGTGGTAGTTGGCACTGGCTTGTCAGCCCGTCGGTTGGCATTGCAACGCAAAGGGTTCGAATGTACAGTACCGAAGAAACAAGGGCGGCCCACCTCACACGCCCCTTGTCCTTGTTCTTGTCCTGTTTCCTACAGAGACTGCTTGAGTTATGTATTCCTACCGCGTAACGAAACAACCCGAAGAAAATAAAGATTCACTCCCTGCTTCGTACGTACGTACACGTATATGTACCAGTCGGATCACGGTGCCCCACTCAAGGCCACATCCTGCAGCATGCAGACCCTGCTTCGGAGTCGAGGTTATGGGTGTCTATGGGCGAGGTATGTGGACTGCGAATAGGTAACCGTATGTAATATCGTGGGTATCTCAGTAACAGATCCCGGCTCAATGGCTGGGTGACCCGATCGTAAAGTTCCACTCGCCGGGGATTGCCCCGATCCCGCTGGGAGGTGCAGGGGTTGAGACTCCGTATGTATGGCCCCTTTTGCGTTGGGAAATCAGGGAAAATCCATGTAGATCCCCGGATGAGCGCTGCCGCAGAAAGAAATCCAAGTTTCTTATAACTTGGCACGGCTGGGCACTAGCCTAGGTAATTACCTACTCCCTGATAATCATCTCTCTTCACGTATCCCTGCCTCTAGCATCTCGGCCAACATGTCCCATTTAACTGCTGCGTCCTTCCCTGAAGCTCGTGCAGCCCCTCTCAGACCGCCACAAATAAACCGCAGGTGCCGGTTATAGTCGGCGGATATCTCCCTCAGCGAATGAATATAGCTCTTCTCTCGGAAGGAAGACCCTGCCGCGGGGCTGGCGAATCCATCATCGTCGTGGTCGTGGTCGTCGTCCCCATCACCATCTTGAGACCGCCAAGATGATCCGGGACCCTTGGTTTTGGGAGATCCTCTGAGTGGAGACGCCACCATAACTGACATTCGTGAAAACTCTCGCTTCTCCCGCGCGTTCTGGGCGTCCTTCCGGGCCTCTTCCTGTGCCAATCTGATTGCTAGGTCCAAAACATCAAGAATCGCGTCTCGAATTGGATCTAGTTTGCTGCCTAAGCAGGCCGCGTCAGTCACTTGTTTGGTAAGGTCAGAATGGACGGCGATCATGGTGTCCACGTCGTGAGCTTCCTGAAACTGCCGACGCAGTTTTTCCATGCTGGGCGCTAGAACCAGCGTTGCCAGATAGGTCTGCAGGCAATTACAGAACCACAAGAACCTGAAACGCAGATCATAATAGTCGACATTCTCAGCCCCATTGTCCGTGTCGTAGGTGTGCTTGTCGAGCAGACGGGGTCTTTTGAGAACAGAGGTTGCTCGGCGGATCTGCAACAGGAACGTGAACACTGCCTGGTACCGAGCCAGGGTTTCGTCGGTAAGAACGATTTGCACAGGCCACGAGAGGCGGTAGGAGATACCAATCATTGGCAGAAGTGCCCGGACGGAGTCTCGGGCCTGGACAGGGTCGATGCGTTGTGCGTTCGGAGTCATGGCCGAAGTCACCAGGTGTGCATCTAGGCAGGGTGAAAAGGATTCCTGGGCTAGTCCTGCGAGGAAATAGCGGTCACGCCAGTCGGTTCTGAGCAAATCGATTCTGGCAAACAGGTTCTGGCAGTACGTGTCCGCCACCGCGCCGTCGGACATGAAGTAGAGTCGTTCCAAGGCATCCGCATTTGCCTGCAGGCGACAAGATTCCATGAGAACCTGCTTGAGGGCCTCCGAGGTTGCATGCTGCTTGCTTTGGACCCACGAATGAAAAGCGGAGCCGAACAGCTCGGAGAATGGGGCAAGCCCCAGCTCGGCCGAGCAAACGGCGTCGAAAGTCAAGTGAGGCTCGGGGTGTGTCCACTGCTTCCGGCTGCGCTCGAACCATCCGAGGTGCTTGAGGACTACAATACTCTTCCCGGCAGTGAAGATCTTCGCAGCACTTGGCTGAAGGAAATTGGGTACGTGCAGCTGCCCGCTTGATGTTCGTCTCAGCTTGAATTGGTCACGCCATATCTGATTGCGAAGGAGCTGGGCGGATGACTCTGAGACGAAGAAGATCTTGTCTCCCGGTATAAGTTCTCCCTCCTCCATCCAGTGCCGGATGGGCCGCAGATAGACCTGAAAACAGTCGAAGAATATGCGGCCGAGAAGCTGATACCCTTCTGTGCAGTCGGACGCCTGGGCAGCGCCAATCTGATGGTACAGGAGCTCCAGATAGCGAAATGCGCCAATATTGGGATATTCCTGTTGCTCCCGCACAACATTGGATAAAGAATATAGCGGATCTAGCAGGGGCTTGAGCTCTTGTTGAATCGCAATCAAGCTGACAACCGTGTCTTCTTGCGCATCGACCAGGCGACATTGAATGGTCGATATGTGCTTGTCAAGAGATTGCAGACTAGTAGAGACGTTGCTGCGGAATCTCTGCAGAAGCGGCGAGGTTTGTTGCTTGCTTTCGAATGACCGAAGGACGGACAGTTGACGTCCGGCTTCGGCGAACCAGTTGGACAATGCCCGGTGAGTTTCCCAGGCGACATTGGCCATCTGGTACTTCGTATCTGGGAGTCTGTTCTCCAAAAAGAGGGACGTCGGGTGGCCCTGGAGCATAAAGAGCACTTCGCGTATCACCTGGAATTCAGTTACGGGAACTTTGCGCGAAGGCACCGTCCCTCCCTGCTCGGCCCTTGGAAGGCGCCATGACTGGCTTTCGCGGACAGCCTTGAGAGCAGCATGATTTTCCGTGGCTACCTGAAGGTCCTCGGGTTTTCGATCATGCGAGGTGTCCAGTGCAGAAAGTGAAGTGTCCTCGGACTCCCGAGACGTAGCGGACTTGGCGTCATCAAGACCATCGTCGGAACTGTCCAAGTAGTCAACGTTCCTCCACAGATCGGGATCCCCATGCCAACCGTCCTCTTTGGCAATATCCTCCCATGTCAAACGGGGGCCGGGGTCAACATCGGGTTCTTTCAGTAGGTCTAACGCTGCGAGGGCTGACTTCTGCGCAGGCTGGTCGGCTACCTCCAGGAGGAAATGGAGGATTTCGGGGTGCCATTTTGAAGGGACTAGGGCCAAGGAGGAGAGTCTCTGACCGAGAGCATCGGCGAGACCTTCACGGTGTTGGATCCTGAACCTCTCCTCGAGTCCGTCGAGTCTCTCCTCGACGTCGAATTGGTTGGTGCGGAGAAAATTGTGATGCCTCAAGCTACGAATAGAGGACTCTCGGTAGAGGTTAAACCGGTCTCGGTCAACCTACAACCAATCCAGTCAGCTCGGTGCCTTGACGACTGGGAAAGAGGCCCGTATCATCGTTTAGACATAAATATAAGCATGCACACCTTACTCGAGGTTGCTGTGATGAGTTCGACGAGCTCATCGGTCAACGCGCTCAACTTGGCAAGGTGGGTCATGTTGTTCGCATGCTATAAATTGGTTCAGATATGTGAGGGAATATGCATCGAGAACAGACCCGCTCGAGACAGAGGCTGTGGGAGAAGCTGCCTTCAGCTATGAGCGTGGCTCTGCGATACTGAGCAGTAATATCTCCAAGTTGAGATGATGTCGGATTGAAGACGCGTGAGGTGACGCGACGGACGGCTTAGTAAGATCCTTAGGGGCGCCAACACTTGTCCGGCCCGCCCCTGCAGCCTCTTAGGCACACTGTTGTACAGGGGCTTATTACGGCTTACAGGGAACACCCGCTGTTTGCAGGAGTCACGGCAGGCCAGAAACCTTAACAGACCCAGTAAAAAGTCCAAAGCCGGCGCATCATTGGCCACAGACGATCTCGATCTAAACTTACGTCGTACGTACCGCGTGAAGTCAAAGCTCCCAAATTACCTTGCTTCGTAATTCGTCTCCTTTTGCAATCACAAGCTTGCTGCGACTTTGACGATGTGGCCTGGCTGCCACTACGAAAGTGATTAGGGACACTCCGTAGTTCCTCTCCCAACCCCCCCAACCGCGACCTTGCGCCCTTCTCTCTCACACATACACTAGCTGGCCAGTCAGACCATCTACAACTCGTTTGCGCCTGGGCTTTCGCCGCCCTCGATCGAATGAACGATCCTCATTCCATCCATCTCGGGTCCATACTCCCACGACACGACGATACGGATACACCTCACTCAATGGCTGAATAAGGGTGAAGCCCCCTTCCCCTTCCAACTCCACACCTCACTTGCCGCCAACTCTGCGACGCCCACCGGCCATCAACCATGGCACTTGCCCGACCAATTCGCGCCCTCATCGTTGTATCGATATTCCTGTGGTGCTTCTTTCTCTACCAGATCTTCGGGTCCTCTAGCCAGATCCGGCTCCCAGAGCGTTTCGGCCATGAAACGGATCCAATATTAGACCGTGAGTTGACCGCAACCGGTCTTCAGGTGAATCTGCGTGGTTTGGCAGTGCTAATCCTTGGGTGTTCCAACAGCAACGGGCGAACCCGAAGGGACCCTGATGTACCCTTCGGATGAATACAAGCCGGGCATTCCCAACTCGGCACGAATCAATGCGACGATCTTGGCCTTGGTTAGGAATGAAGAGCTCCATGGGATGCTTCAGTCAATGAGGGATCTCGAACGGACATGGAATCACAAGTTCAACTATCCGTGGACTTTCTTCAACGACGTCCCCTTTACGGAAGAATTCAAGGAGAAGACAAGTGCTCTGACGAATGCAGAGACCCGATATGGTATGATGGAAACTCATCGTGTCTCTCGTCCCTTCCGCCGAATCTGTTTCTGACCGAAATCGTCTGAATCTAGAACTCATTCCCAAAGAACACTGGGACATGCCATCATGGATTAATAACGACCTATATGAGGAGTCTGTTAAGACACTCAAAAAGAACAAAATCCAGTACGCCGATAAGCTTTCGTACCATTCCATGTGCCGTTGGAATAGCGGCATGTTCTACAAGCACCCCGCGCTCGAGAACGTGAGGTATTACTGGCGCGTCGAACCCGATGTCCACTTCTTTTGCGACATCGATTACGACATCTTCCGTTACATGCAAGACAATAATAAAACATACGGTTTCACCATCACACTATACGACGCTCCTAAATCCATTCCGACATTGTGGCCCGAGACGATCAAGTTCTTGGCTCAGCATCCCGAATACCTCCACAAGAATAACGCCCTGGACTGGCTCTCCGACAGCCTTCGCCGGCCCGAACACAACAAGCAGGCCAATGGGTATTCAACCTGTCATTTTTGGAGCAATTTCGAGATTGCCGATATGAACTTCTGGCGGAGTAAACCGTACGAAGACTATTTTAACCACCTGGACCGCGCTGGAGGGTTCTTCTACGAGAGATGGGGTGATGCGCCTGTCCACAGTATCGCGCTTGGTCTCTTCGAGGACAAGAGCAAGATACACTGGTGAGTCTATACCGGGACAATTCCGTTTCCCTCGCGGATTAGTGGTGCAAGATGTTGCTAACGCGTGGCGCGATTCAGGTTCCGAGACATCGGCTACCAGCATATCCCCTTTTTCAACTGTCCCAACTCGCCCAAGTGTCGCGGGTGCGTCACGGGCAAGTTTACAGACGGCGAGTCCTGGCTCCACCGGGAAGACTGTAGACCGAACTGGTTCAAGTATGTCGGCATGGATTGACCAGGATTTGGAACCTGCAAGTTTGGTGTTGATGGTTACGCGTGCCGTGCAAAAATCTTCGAATTATGCACTTCGGTCTCTGAAAGACCAACATTTTCTCGTCGGCATCTGGTATACACACGAATGGGTGTCCGGCGTAATGGAGGGTAGGTAAAATTTCGTGGGCTACCACTACCACGTCGCTTGCGCGATCAAGTCGGACTGGGGCGTTGTACTAGTTGCACGGCAATGGTAAAGGTGTTTGATTCTATAGACGGATGATTGGGGAATATCATGACACAAATAATACAGACGCGCAATACAACAGTGGTAACCGGAGCTCGAAGCTCGAGCTGAGCTCCGATACGAGATAGCAACCCTTCAAAGCATGTTCTATGCAGACGTGCCGAAGACGGTGACAACGCCTGATGTCCCGCCCACACAGAACTGATCGCCCCAGCCGTCTTCTTTCCAGGCGATACAGCTCGTGACGTTTGTCCTGTCTTTCTCCTTGCCGTCCTTGCCGAGGACCTTCTTCTTCGGCTCAGAGCCCGGGGGACCCCACGGGACGCGGACCACAGCGGCCAACTCTCCCGTCAGAAGATCCCAAGCCCACACCTTGCCGTCGCTAACGTTGGCCGTTCCCGTCCCTGTCCCTGGTCCTGGTCCTGGTCCTGTGGTAGCCCCAGCCGCCGTCATCTCATCGCCAGCAACCACCCATTTCTCGCGACCACCCAAGACGGCCTGGACACGAAACTCCTCGTTCCGCCAAGCCGGGTCGGAGTAGGTGCGCAGACAAGTGCCGTGCTCGCGGTCCATAAGGCGCAAGCGGCTATCCAGCGAGCCGACCAGCACAGCGCGGCCGTCGCGGGCGAGGGACAAGCTCGTCACGCTGGCACCAACAACATCGGCGACGCAGCGGCCCATGCGGACGTCGTAGGCGCGCACGCGGCCGTCGACGCTGCCCGCCAGGACCTCGGCGCCGCGGACGGCGAGGCAGGTGACGGCGTCGCGGGCTTCGTCGAGGACCTGGACCGGCTTGGCGTTGCCAGACTTGGCGTCCCAGATGCGCACGGTGGTGTCGACGCCGCCGGAGAGGACGAGGGAGTCGGAGTCCCCGGCGAAGCGGACGCAGTTGACGCGGGCGGTGTGGCCGTGGGCGGTGCTGCCGAAGCGGCGGGTGGTGGTGGCGGTGGAGACGTCCCAGAGGAAGACGGCGCGGTCGCCGCCGGCGGAGACGAAGCGTTCGTTGTCGGCTGCTACGTCTAGCGAGAGGACTTCGTACCCGTGGGCGGAGTAGGATTGGATGAGACGGCCTTGGGGGATGACAGGGAAAGATGACGAGGATTTAGCAGTGATGTGGGAGGTGGAAGGAGTGGGATAGACGGTTTCTGGCTTTGAGGGAAAGGGGTTATAGAGTCTTATGGTGCGGTCGGAAGAGCCTGTGAGGATGTAGGTGCCGGGTGAGGCCGAGTATGCGAGCGAGTGAATCGGGCCTGGGACAAGCTGTCAGCGATGTGGTTCACTCGAGTTGCCGTCGGCCTCTCAAAAGCTATTGGAAAGGGATATGAGATAACACGAGGGTGGTGTGACTATCAACGGACCATTTGAACCCAAGAGATGGGCAACGGGTTCATCAGGAAATGACATGGTGGTAGGGAGTTGATCGGTTCGTTTCCCATGCTGTTCGTTGTGATCCACTAGGGGAAAGATTCATGATTCGGCGATAGTGGTTCGTATAACGTACTGTAAAGGATCGACAGCTACCACTACCTATCCCAGGAATGGGAGGGACGTTTTATACTGCCATCTTGAGCTCTGTGATGAGAGGTCGCGAGCCCATATGTTGTATGCGTCTCACAAGTGGACCAAGCGCACTAGGTAATGAGTTATAACAGTATCGTGCTTGTGGTGCACCGTAGCGTAGTGTACGTAAGTATTTAGGGTCCCGTTTTAGGGAAATATGGTCAAAACCAAAGATCGGGGCCGAGCACGGAGCTTTACCGGATCCTGACTAAAGCTCTGAAGTCCGTACCGTAATAAGAAGCCGCTTTTGTACTTGTACGGATAGGGGTTGTGCCTCCACTCACTCTTGTACGGAGTACTTCCGTATTACGTACCTCCTATTCGTACTTTGGCGTCTTTCTCCCCAAAGGTGGATTTCAAGTCGAGAAAAAATCGCTCAGCTCCACAAAGCGACAGCTCCGGGTCTACGACAAAACATACGAGTCCCATCAAGACTGGCCAGTATAGCTACTTGAGGTCTCTCTACACTCCGTTTTCCAACAAGCAGCGGCGAGTCAGACGCTCGGATCGTCTAGTTGGTTAGGATGATGCATTGTGGTTCCTACTACAATACTGCATTGACGGCAGTTCGAATCCGCCTCCGAGCATTTCTTTTTGCTTTCTTTTTTCTTCCTTCGTATTTTTATTCTCCTTTCCCCTTTTTTATTTTTTTTCTGTCCACCTATTGATGAATATCACCAACAAACATAGTCAATCTGATACCATCTGATACAACAAAACGTCGACGCCATGCTTGCCAGGGCCATCCCCATCTTCACTAAGCTAGGATATCTATTCTACTAATGCCACATTTTCTTCGTCAGGCCCGCGCGGTATCCCGTCCATAAGGTATCTTACATCTGAATAGCAATACAAGAGATATTTTACACTACAAAGTTGATCGTCTTCCCTCCACGAGCCAAGATAACCCGCTTCGGCTTCCGCACGTCCCACGCTCCTTCGGAGAACTTCGTCTTCCCTTCCTCCGTCTTGAACATCTCGGCCACCATCCACTCCCGCAGCGCCTCCGCATCGCCCTCCAGACGCGCCGGCGGCTTGGGAATCTCCACCACCCCGCGGAGCTTCCCGTTGATCTGGATCGCCACAGGCTGCTTCCGTGGCTGCAGGAGCGGCGCCGTGTCATCCGGCTCCGGGAACGCCGCCGTCTGGAACATCGATCCTCTGGCACCCGGGTAGAGGACGGTCCAGCACTCCTCGGCGAAAGCCGGCGTGATGGGCGCCAGCATGCGGATGGCCGCCGAAGCCGCCTCGCGCTGCACCAACGCACTGGCCGTCTCGCTGCGCTCGTGTAACGTGTTGGTCAGGCCCATGAGGTCCGACACCACCGTGTTGATCGGGTACACCTTCTGGTACGAGGCCGTCACCGACTCGATGGTCGATTGCACCGATCGCCAGATGGCGGCGTCGGCGTCCCACCTCGACAGCTCGGCTTCCGTCATCTCGTCTAGTCGTCTTGCTTGTTCCCTGAGGTGCGCCGTTGCCGACCCATCCGAGTCGGTCGTGTCTGGTTCGGTTTCCGCCAGGCTCTTGACGTAGTCGTACAGTCGGCTTAGCCAACGCGTGACTCCGATGATCTTTTCTTCGTCCCAGTTGAGGATGTCGCTGACGGGGGCTTGGAACAGCATATGGGCCCGAGTGGCGTCGGCGCCATACTTTGCGATAAAGTCGGTGGGGTCCACCCCGTTGTACTTCGACTTGGACATCTTCTCGAAGCTAACGGTGGCCGTGGCTCCGGTCGAAGCAACCTTGGGCTCTGCTGGGTTGCTCAGGTCCAGTTCGTCGGGCTTCAGAAACCGGCCGGAAGACGGGTCGCTGAATGTCTTGCCGTGCACCATCCCTTGCGTGATTAGTCTCGTGAACGGCTCATGTGTCGATTCTTCGTTGGCTGCCGTAGTTGGGGGGAATAGTTCCGTGGAGGCCATAAACTTGTAGATGAACCGCGCATACAGCAGATGCAGGATCGCGTGCTCTATGCCCCCGATGTAGAGGTCGACGGGCAGTTGCCGCGCCGCCTCCTGAGAGAAGGGCTGCTGCTCGTTGTGCGGGTCGGTGAAACGGGCATAGTACCAGCTCGAATCGACAAATGTATCCATGGTGTCCGTCTCACGTTTAGCCGCCTCCCCGCACTTAGGGCAGCTAACGTTGACCCAGTCAGGGGTCTTTTCCAGCGGGTTGCCGGGTTTCCCATGAGTCCAGTGATCGCGAACATCGGGGAGGGTGACTGGAAGCTGATCCTCCGGCACAGGCACGGGACCACATTGACGGCAGTGTATGATGGGGATCGGAGTGCCCCAGTACCGCTGCCGGCTGATCAGCCAGTCCCGGAGCCGCCACTTGTCCATGGGGTTGGCGAGACCGGCGGCCTCCAGCATAGCCACGAGAATCTTGGATCCCTCAACCGACGGCTTGCCCTCGAAAGGTCCGCTGTGCCCGGTCATGACACCATGTTCGACGAAGGGCTCGTTGCGCAACGCGGTGGTCGACTCGTCTTCCGAAGCGGCGAGGACGTACCGCACAGGCTCGTCGTAGCGATGTTCTTTCCAAAAGGCGTGATCCCGCTCATCATGTCCCGGCACGCCCATGACAGCTCCTTCGCCGTAGTCGCCGAGCACGTACGACGCCACGTATATGGGAATAGAGGCCTTGGTCGCCTCGGGAGTGCCCTCGTGATAAGCTAGCGGGTTGACGGCCCGCAGTTGAGGCAGCATATAGCCGACCTTGGAGTCGCGCGGGAACCCGGGAAGAGTGTCCAAGAAAGCCTGGAGCTCCGGATCACTCAGGGCCAAGGACTTGACAATCGGGTGGGTAGATGCCAAAGCCAGGTACTGGACGCCGAACAAGGTGTCTGGCCGTGTCGTGAAGACCTCGATGGCTGCATGGCTGTCCTGTCCCATGGCCAGCACGGGAAACTTGATGGTCGCGCCGGTAGACTTGCCCAACCAATTCTTCTGCATGGATAGAACCCTCTCAGGCCAAGCGTCGTCCTTATTCAGGACTTCGAGGTCGCGGAGAAGTTCTTCTCGAAACTCGGATATGCGGAAGAACCATTGCTTCAGGCGGCGTTTCTCGACTTTGGCTCCAGATCGCCACGAGCTCCCGTTGGCGTCGACTTGTTCGTTGGCGAGCACCGTCATGTCCACGGGATCCCAGTTGACCTCGGATTCGGCCTGGTACGCCAGACCACGTTCGTGTAACATCAAGAAGAGCTTCTGGGTGTGTCGGTAGAAGTCGGGTTCGCAAGTGGTAAGCTCCTGTAGTCACAAGATTAAACATTAGTGGATGGGGGAAGGCAAATAGTACAAGAAAGAACGGCCGGCACAGCAACGTACCCTATCCCAGTCCCAGCTACCGTTCATCAAGTCCAGTTGAGACTTCATCTTGGCGATGTTCGTCCTGGTCCAGGTAGCTGGGTCAATGCCGCGCTCAATGGCAGCGTTCTCCGCGGGAAGACCGAAGGCATCCCATCCCATGGGAAGCAGGACGTTGTGGCCCCGTAAGGTGTAGAACCGAGCAATGACATCGGCAATGGTATAGACGCGGAGGTGGCCAAGATGCAAGGTGCCCGAGGGGTAAGGGAACATAGGCAAGACATATTTGACCCTGGAATCATCCACCAGCTTGCCATTGCTGGCGGCTGGGTCGGACTGGGATTCACGGAGTGCTTTCCACTGGTGACGCCATTTTTGGTCTATGGCGTGAAAATCGAGCTTGTGGTTGGCGTAGTTCCGCTGCTGTAGCAGTGACAGTTGGGCCAGCCGCACGGGATGGAGAGCAGGGCGAGTGTTCGTTCGGATGGAGAAGAAGGCCGGGCCTGGTCGGGAGATTGAGGTCTTTGCAGTCGTGACAGCCGAGACCTGGGGCCTTTTGGGCCAGGTCCAGCCTAATTGACGTCCATATATTGACTGCATGGATGCACTGCCACTATCATCGTGTGGTTCGATGCTACGAGGGTCGCAACGAAGCTGGACGTGTTGATGGTTGAAGCACACGATTTCACTGGTCTGGAGAAGGACCCTGGACCAGGGTAGCTTCAAATTGATGAGTACCTTACGTTGTACGTTGTAGTGTACGTTGTACGTGTAGGTTGTACACTACCTTATTGTACGTTTAACTTACCAGGTACCTTACCTTACGGAGCAGTGGACCAGTAATGGCACCAGAAACCCTGTACTTAGGTAAGGTAGGTACAAAGCTACATCTATGTGAGGTGGGACGAAAAGGTAGCGCCGGTCTTCGGCGATCGACGTCATTTTGCATTTTGTGCGTAAATTGCGTACCTACACGTGTAAATCAGATACTCTGCACAAATTCGTTGAACGTTGTATATGTATAACCGGTTATGGTATCTAAGGTAGTCTTATGTTTTTATTGAGAAATATATTTGAATGGGTATCGTATACGTATTGGTAAGCGGGGGTCCCTGTGTAGTACGGTCGTATTTCGTGGAGGCCTTAGCACATTCGAAGTTGGGGAGCAGAATAGCTGTGCATGTCCTAATACCGCCCAGTAGTGTTCAAATTTTGTCGGAGATACCGCGGCCGGGGGACGGCAGAGCAGCGCCTACCGCTGCTAGGTACCCTCCGGGGCGTCTACTCCATGTCACCATGACATTCTATATTCCTCTAAGAAGGTGATGGATATACGTAATTTTAGTATCCAATTTGCTAAGAAAACATGTTGGGATTAGTTAATTCCTTTGCAGGAAATACGTATTGTAAATGTAGGAAGGTTTGAAGTTGAGGGGAGGAAAAAAAGAAGAAGAAAAGAAAAGAAAAGAAAAGAAAAAGAAAGGAGTACCGGGTACACTTCCCCACCCCCACCACCTACGGTACGTACTCACACCGGTGAACGGCGAGAACGCCAGTGCGCCCCTACTTCTTGACTGGACTGGTGGCCTCGAGATTTTGCCCCGCGATGTTTCCATAGCAAAGACTCACCCCCCGATCTGCTAATGACTGACCTCATATTCATCTTGTTTTGAGAGCTGCGTTGTCACAAACAGAGATCGTCGGGCTAGAGTTGTACGTGTATCAGAAGCACTCAACGAGCCCACCCTCCCTTGCCCTTTTATACACCTACCGTCCAGATATCTCGATCTCGGCTTGCAGTATCACAAATTCCAGGTCAAATCCGACTGGGCATCAAGCTGGGCTGCCAACACATAGAGCTTAGCTCGTCCTTGTCAACCTCCTTTCTGCTCCTCACACATGGTCGTCGGACCTTTCTTGTCGGAGCCACGCATACCCATTCTCGTTCATTCTAGTTCCAACGACTTCATATCAGAAGTACGACGCCACTGCATCTGCCCCGGATTAGCGAGCGAGGAATCTAGTGACCCAGGGTCAAAGCATACCCTGTTACCTAACGACCATATATCCCATCGCCCGTTTTTATCATCATGGAAAAGATCACCGACAAGATCGCGGCGCTGCCGCCAGGGACCGACTACTTCTCCCTCGAATTCTTCCCCCCGAAGACGGCCATGGGTTTCTCAAACCTTCGAGATCGCCTCGACAGGATGGAGAGGGCCCTTCGCCCTCTGTTTGTGAACGTCACATGGGGTGCTGGCGGCTCCACGGCCGACAAGTCTCTCGAACTCGCCGAGATTTGCCAGCGCGAACTCGGCCTCACCACCTGCCTACACCTCACATGCACGAACATGAGCCGCCGCATGATTGACAAGGCCCTCGAGGACGCCAAGGTCCTCGGAATCCGCAACATCCTTGCCCTGCGTGGCGATCCTCCTAGGAACGCCGAGTACCGGGACTCGGACGACTCCGATGCTGACGATGGCGAAGAGTTCAGCTGGGCCATAGACCTTGTCGAGTACATCAGGAAGAAGCACGCTGATTACTTCTGCATCGGTGTCGCCGCCTACCCCGAGGGTCACGCCGCAGAGAGTCATCCTTTGGGCCAGAGTCTCGAGCACGACTTGCCCTACCTAGTCGACAAGACCCAAGCCGGCGCCGACTTTATCATGACCCAGCTATTCTTCGATATTAAGGCCTATGAGAACTTCGAAAGGACCCTGAGAGAACACCCGAGCGGCGCCTTCAAGACCATACCTATCATCCCGGGTCTGATGCCCATCCAGAGCTACCAGATGATTAAGCGAACCACCAAGCTAAGCCACGCCAGCATTCCCGACCACATCATGGCTCGCCTCGATGCCGTCAAGGGGGACGACGAGAAGGTCAAGCAGGTGGGTGTTGACATCCTTAGCGAGCTGGTGGAGCAAGTCAGGGAGGTAAAAGGTCGCCGCCACGGACCTAGAGGGTTCCACTTCTACACCCTGAATCTCGAGAAGGCCGTGTCTTTCATCCTAGAGCGCACCCACCTCATTCCGGATAAAGATGAGGAGAACGAAGAGGCCGTCGTCGACGACGAGGCGCAGCCTCCAGCACCAGCACCAGCACCAGAACCAGAACCAGCGGCAGCGGCAACAGTTCCGTCCGTCCAGATCAACGGTCTCCTCGAAACACCGCGCGGGGACCGCTCCTCCCGTCGCCTATCCTCCATCGGGTCAGATCCGCGAAATCACGTCATCGTTTCGAGAGCGTCCAACCCGGATTACGAAACCACGGCCGCTCTCGCCGGTATCCCCGCCGAACCCGTCAACACGCGTGCCAACACCCTCGCCATCTCGGAGGGCGAAGGTGCCCTCGGCCGCGAAGCCACCTGGGACGACTTCCCCAACGGCCGCTGGGGCGATGCCCGGTCCCCGGCCTACGGCGAGATCGATGGCTACGGCGTGAGCCTGCACATGTCCGTCACACAAGCTGTACGGCTCTGGGGCCACCCGACCGCCCCCGCGGACATCAGCGACCTGTTCATCCGCCACGTGCGCGGCCAGCTGAGCGCCATCCCCTGGAGCGAGGAAGGCCTGCTGCCGGAGTCGAACGTCATCCAAGACCAGCTCGTCCAGCTCAACGCCCGCGGGTGGTGGACCGTCGCCTCGCAGCCCGCCGTCAACGGCGTGCCGTCCAACCACCGGACCTTCGGCTGGGGCCCGCGGAACGGTTTCGTCTTCCAGAAGGCCTTTGTGGAGTTCTTCGTCCCCTCGGCCGACTGGGCCCGCCTGAGCGGGACGCTACGGACCGACCCGGCCGTGTGCTTCTACGCGAGCAACTCGGCCGGCGAGTTCGAGTCGTCCGACACCAGCGGCGGGATCGCGGGCCAGGAGGCGACGGGGGCGAGCACGAACGCCGTGACGTGGGGCGTTTTCCCGGGCAAGGAGATCGTGACGCCCACCATCATCGAGGAGGTGAGCTTTCGGGCGTGGAGCGACGAGGCCTTCAAGATCTGGGGCGAGTGGGCGCGCGTCTACGGCAAGGGCCACCCGAGCGAGGCGTTTTTGCGGCGGGTCAGGGGAGATTACTGGCTGGTGAATCTGATTCACCATGACTTTGTTGAGCCCAACGCGCTCTGGGAGCTGTTGTTGAAGAGCTGAGCGAGGAGAGGAGATGGCCACGTTACCAACGAAAAATGGGGAATTGAGGAAGTGAGAATGAGACAACCTTGTCGACGTGGTGACTATACTGCCGTGGCATAGGGTCGAAGCGAATAATCATACGAATGCAAATGCATCGTCGCGGGAATTTCATGTCCGAGGCATTTGAGAGTGAATGTCCATGTTGGTTTCCTTTCCGATGGTTGCAATGCGCCTTGCGTCTGCCAGTAGCTACTTATGGAGGAAAGCCGAAGAAGAAATGAAGGAGAAAAGCAAAGAATGAAAAGCAAAATGGCCTCCGTTGTTTTCCGATTTTCCGACCGTCTGTAATCACACACCTATTACCACCCCTTATCTGTTTCCCTCGAAAACCTCTCTCCATAGGTCGAAGGCAAATCTCGAAGTGGAATTGACAAAAAGAGAGAGAAGACAAGAATAGGAGAATCCTAACCCCAAACGCCCCGACCGGCCGTCCATCCTTGTGAATTTATTTCCTGTCTGCATTCATTTCACTTCGGTAACCCGATGTGGTGTGCTTGGGTTAGCAGGGCAAGAACCATGCCCCATGACTATGCAGTCGTCCGGAGAGAAGGCAGACTGAAGACGAAGTTAAGCAAGAGAGGAGGAAAGAAAGGAAAAGCAAAAAAAAGACGTGGGAAGTAGAGCTGCCCAAGAACTATTCAGATCTCGTCGTACCCGCCCGAATAGAAGTGGTCAGCATCATCAACAAAGTCGTTGCTGAAAGCATGATCAAGCTCCTGCATAAACTCAGACTCGACATTCGACGCTGCGGCGGCAGGTTTCTGCACCTGTTTCGAAGCCGTGAATCTCTGCGCCTTAGCAGCTTTGCCACCATCCGCATTGAGGGCGAAGGCGGGCTGGGTTTCCTGCGTGCTCTGGTTGCCGGAGCGGCTCTCCTGCTCGCTCTCTTCGGTAAGGTCGACGTGAACGGCCGCCGCGCGAGCAGACGAAGCGCTGCTGCCGAAGAGAGAGACGTGGCCCTGCGAGGTGGCGACGTCGGGGATGTCGGCGGCGCCATCGAAGGAGGCGGCGGTGGAGGGCTCTTGCTTGATGATACGCTTCTTCGTGGGCGTTTCGACGAACGTGTCCTCGTCGTCATCCTCGCCATCCGAGGCCGGGGGAGCGGCGTGGGCCTTGGTCCGCTTACGGGACCCCGCTCCCGAGGCGCGGCTGGACGCACCGGAGCCGGCTACGCCGGGTGTGGATCGCTTGCGACTGGGTGTCGAGAAAGCGCTGCCGATGTTGAGGGCTTTGGCCGGGTCGTCGCCGTTGTCGGCGGCGGTTCGCATGGCATCCGCATCCTTCTTGATCGAGCGGAACTGGAACTGGATTCCATCTGGGGTCGAGCTTCCAAAGATACGGGCGACCTCTATAAGAAATGACAGAGACAAAGTGGTTAGCTTTCTAGTTTTCCCAACCCCAAGTGTGCAAAAAGAAGCCCCATCGCGCGCACCATTCTGATCCTTGGGCAGATCGGCCGGAATATCCTTGCAGTCGAGGTTTTGATTTGCAGCCTGGGAAACAACATCCGCATGACGCTTCAAGGTACGAAAGCGATGTTGGAGAGCATATTCAGTCATGTCCGAACCATAATGCTTGCAGATCTCTACTCCAAAGTCAGAGAAAACTCCGACTAAAGGAAGTGACAGCACTAGCTGGCGCCTTGCGTCTCCCCGTAACAAGTAACACGTAATAGAGATATAAAGAGATATAGAGAGATAATTCTGTCAAGGAAAAAATGGGTGCACCTACCTTTGTAGTTCCATTTGACTTCAGGATGAGCGGCAATGATAGCACGCAGGAGGCGAGCCTGAGCCTCGTACGACTTGAAATTGCTCTTGGTGGCGGGGGCCATGGTTACTGATGCAGTTTCCTGGAGCTGGTCTCGACTGGAAGAGTAGGTCAGCATAATCCATCACACGGAGCTCATGGCAGTGAAGCGTAATGCGCAATTTGGATTCAGAGAGTGTATGGAGGGAACGAGTGAAATAGCGGCAACAACGTGAGGCAGATATAAAATTCTGCGTGGGGAGAAGAGGCTGGAGGAGAGGACGAATAAAAAGAGGATAAGGGGAGGTGCATACGTACGGATCCTAGGTGGGAAGGTATCGAGTGCTCAGCAGGAAGCTATGATGTTGAGGAAGCGGAAGGAAGGTCGGAAGACTGAGTTATGCGGGAGTGCGGTGATGCTTCGGTTACACCTCAGGCAGCTTAAGTTGCTAGATAACCTTGCTGGTGGTTAACGTTAGTGGAGGCGTAATGGAGAAGGGGAGAAAAGGACCAGGGGTCAGATAAGGCGAATTATATACGTGAGATGCGGGATGGATGGGTTTGGAAGGAAGGGTCTAATAAGCAACTGACGTGTGGATGGTGGTGATGAAGGGTCATAAGATAGTGATGGGGGCCTAGCTTTTTGCAAAGAGTATGGGTATGTGAAGGTGGAGGCGGCCATATGACCCTCACCAGAAGGGCAAGATATAGAAAATAGGAAGGTGAGGAAGGGCAAAGAGAAGGAGACGAGGAAGGACGATGATCCCTATAACATGACTCTCCTGCCTGGGGCATATAGGCACCCTCATGTTATTGCTTGCCTTCCTCTTAGCTCTTGGTCAGTCAGTCTCTATTAGCAGGCACTTGCTTTCAGATTATAGCCACTTGCCTCTATACACTCTGGGGCACTGAACCACTCGGTCCATATACTCGGATCTCATCTCGAGTACTCTGTCCATACATCCCCGACTCGTGCAATGCCTAGCCCCGGGGCACAGATATTTCCAATCAAGAGAGGTAGCCCGGCACCCTTCAACACATTCCGAGATACTTCTTGATCTTTCTCCTGCAAGATCGCCCATCACCTCAACCCCAGATCTTAACACCCCTTAACTCAAGTGCTCCCCCAAATCGCCGTGCCTTCAGCGAATATTGACGAGAAGAGATGTTGCAACAGAGGCTAAAGACGTACTATCCTGGCCCTGGGCAGGCGCAGTGATGTTTCGAGCGCCTGCAGTGAACATCACCTGCTGAGCCCAGAGAGCGATGGGTTCAAGGAGCAGAGGCCAAGCTGCTAACAGGCGATAGCAGCCTTCAAGCCGGGGAAAGAATGGACAAAACATGAAAGACTGAAAGACTAAAAGACTGAATAAAAATAAAACTTACTCGACGCATAGACAACTCGGCAGTTCAGCTCCCGACAAAGCAGACGTTGCCGCAAAGACGACAACAGCAGTTGAATGGGACGGTATGTCTGTAGGCCTGATTCATGGGCCCAGCACCTCGACGACTCTGGCACAGCTCTGCAGACGCAGAGCCGCAAAAGTCTCTTTAAAAGAGCCCAGAGCCAAGATTGTCTATACATGAATTAGTACATGGCTGTTGAAACGGAGGCAATAGAAGTGGTGGATCTTACACTGCCCGTATGAATCACGTCTTAGTGTCGGATACGCTTCTTGGGGGGTGGTGAGAATGCGACAATAGGTACTGACAGATGGGACAACGTTGGCAGAGTAACCGGAAATCCATCAATCTGCAAGAACAGAATGTCGAGTAAGAAGGGGAGTAGATGGATGCAGGGCATCTTTCATCCCTAATTGAGTTGAGTGGTGGCAGATGCTTGGTCTGAAAAAAGGAGGTGGTTGGGTGGCTAAGCTACCTCCTGACTGGAGGTGAAGTTCGTGCAATTCTGTTAGTGTGCTACAACTTGGTCTCGAGATGACAGTGAGTAACACAGGGTATGATGAGTATTTGAGAATAAAAAAGGTATGTGATTGAAGTACCCTACTTAGGAGTATTCAAGTCTATTTTTTTAAGAATTTATTAGAACCATATCTGGTACACTAGGTGCGTTATTGACCAAGCATCCAATGTCGACCTTAACGCAAAATAACCACATTCTCGTGATGGAGGCAGGACAAGCAGCGGATCATATACCCCCTGTATCCCTGCTATACAAACAATAAAGGCCCCATCCCATCGGATTCGTTCCTGTCGTAATTACCGTCTATGTTCCCCAACCCGAAACGCCCTGCAAGAGGCTTTCTTGGGCCCCACGATGACTTTATAGTGTATGCGCCAAATGGTTGTCTACCCTATGTTTCTTGCGATTAAAAAAGATAAATCTGTCGCGCCAATCCGAACGCTGCCCTTTTTATCAGAAATTCGTTGTGTCTATATAGGTCCGGCCAAGATGAAAAAATGAAATATCCCAATTCTTTCCGAGCATGGTCACCGACTCATCTATCCGACTCATGCGCCGAGGGCTTGTAGGGGCTGTCGTGTAGTTGAATCATGGGATGCTCCTTGACCGAGTTCCCAGAGCCGTCTCCGTACATCCAGTACTGGATGCCCAAGAACGAGTCGCAACAAGCCTGGAAGATGCCGCACAGCTTGAACGCCGCCGGAATTTCCGTCGTCGTCGTGAAGAACCAGAGCATTTTGAGCGCGTCGCCGATCAGCCAGCTTCCCAGCAGCGACAGGCGAAAGCCGTGAGACGACCGCGAACGAGCGTTGATGAGGATCTGGGGAATGGGAAGGAAGGCTTCGATGGAGAGACCCATGTACCCGATGGTGTCGGAATAAACGTGGTATACGGCGGGGATGAGAGATAGGAGTAACTCTAGCGCGGTGAGGGCGAGGAAGAAGTAGACGACGAATTGCCAGTAGCTGTCAAATGAGAAGACGGTCAGCTTGACTTGTCCAACGGCGCCAAATCCAGGGTTCTTTTTTCTCTTCTTTTATTTTATTTTAAAGAAAGCCCCCCAAAAGGGGGCTTGGAGTGGAACAGAAGCAACTCACGGTCTAGGAGACCTCCATTGCCAGAAATTGAAAGGCCTCTTGGATCCCCAGGGATCCTCGTTGACAACCCCCGAGAAGGGGATGGCGGCTTCTCCTCCTTTCGATGCGGGCGACGGACGGTGGTCGAGGGCGATCTTCAGCAGGATCGTTTGCATGACTATCATGATAAGAGCCTGGACAAGCAAGGCATTGTCGAAGCGCGCGCCAGGCCAGTAGAAGACTCTGGGATGTGGTCGTCAGCCATGGGCGGAGGGGAGAGGGAGAGAGAAAGAGACGGAGTGGAACAGCTCATGGGTGTAGCAGTCGGGTGCAGGGCTGAAAGACAATGCCAATGGGACTTGACATACTTGAGCATGGAAGCGACGAGCATAATAAGGGGAATGTCGAGAGAGAAGCCGGCGCTGGATTTATTCCTGTGCATGGAGACGGCCTGGTCGGTGTAGGACAGGATGGGCGATAAAATGATAAAGACCGGGGCCAAGACGGCCGTGAGGGTAGATATCCACATGGTCGCGAAGTTCAATGGAAGCTGATTTTATCTTCGGGCGACCGTTCGCTTGGTTCGGCAAGCCGGTGTCGCGTGGAGGACAGCGCCGGACGCCGTAGAAGCCGGAAGGAGTCGGAGCGCAGAGGACGACGAAGAACAGCGCGAAGATTAAAGAAGGGGGGGGGGGGATAGATAGGTGCGGATAAATGCTCGCTGTGCCGCGGTGTCTATGGAGGAGCAAAAAGAAAACAGTTGCGCATTTTCTACCTCACCAAAGAAAGGAAAGAAAATCGGAACTGGCCCATCGACGTCGTACCGTGAATCGTTACCTGAGCGGAAGAAATTGAAGCAAATTATGATGGGCAATCGGAGCTAGAAACGATCCCGTACCCGACAAGGACGCGATGACGGCGTGCCCCTGTCAATGCCCCTGTCTTTCGTTATTATGTCTATTGCATTCGCGGAATCTGATATTTGCATTACTTGCTGTCAGATGCCACAGCCACCTTATCGGGGTGTGACAAACTACATAGTGTCAGACGTGTGGAGTTATCGCACGTCAAAAGGCACTTCAATAATTAACTTAGTAGAGCAGAAATCTCGTGTATATGTATTATGTTAAGTTATATCTAGGAGAGTCTCTTATGCCCTTAATTTAGGTGGTAAAGACTCTATTATAGGTACTATATTATTTAGATCCTATCTGGTCTTTTCCGATATCCACCCTTATTATATCCTAATGCCTAAAGTCCCCGATATCCGGAGCCCTTAGTTATAGAGTGGATCCCCCCTGGATCCACTATAGACTATATCGTGGTCTTGCCTATACGATACACCCCCTTAGTTAAGGTGGGTCTTCCTAGGTTAACTAACTAATCAGAGGCTTCGGTTTAAACTAAACGCTCTTAACTTTTCTATCGTAAAATCAATAGTTAAGGGAAAACGCCCTCGTAAAAGGGATCTAAATCCGTCCTATTTAACCGTTTAATTTAATTCTATCTTAATTAGTTCCTCGATCCTGATTAGCCGGATCTAATTAATTAGATCTATATCTATCGGATCTACCACGCCCTTAGGGGCCTTTATTATAGCCGCTTTAGCGCGTTTAATCTCTTTGTGTAGTCGTTTAGACCACTTAATACGATTCTTTTAATTAGTTAAATTAAGCTATTACTATAGTCTTTTAATCCCCGCCTCCGGTAGTGCCTTCGTTAATCCGTCCGCGATTATCTCCTTCGTATTAACGTACGTAACCTTAAAAAGACCTTATTATACTAACTAGCACGCCTACTAGTTATATATATCGACGTGCTATAGCCTTATCCGTAGGCGTTATGCCTTCTTATTATTAAGGTTAATAGTCTATTAATTATCGTAGTGTAGCTGCAGCTATTATTAGTCTAGCCGAAGCTCTAAATCCCTTGATATCCGGCTAATAAATAACGTCTTTTTAGCGGCCTTTATAAGAGCGAGTAATTTTAATTCTATTAACGACGTCGTGATTATCGGTTCTTTACCCGCTTTCTAGTTAACGGTACCGCCAAAAAGCTTTATCGTATATCCTTACGAACTCTTACGGTCTGGATTATCCCTAAAGGACGCGTCGCTTACTATTAGGAAAAGCCTATCCCCGCCGAATTCTAGGTAGTAGTATCTTATATAGTATAGGAATAGCAGCACTTATTAAGCCCTCTTAAGGTGGTTAGAGGAGGGGTTAATATTATATTAGGAAAGCTTTAAGTAGGCGAACACGATATCGGGTCTTATCACGATAGCGGCGTATAGGATAGAACCGATTATTCCTTAATACTAATAGACCTCGGGAATCGATGCGCGGGTGCTATCTCGGGGTATTACCGGCTCCGTAGATAATAGGACTTTTAGTGGTTTTCGGCAGAGTGTATCTACGTAGTATTTAACCGCGATCTTCTCTACGTAGGAGGACTATAATAGCTATAACCTACGGGTGGCTCTATCCCTTAGGACCTTAATTCCTAGAAACTAACGGATTTCTTCGCCTCCTAATAACCTGTAGCTTCGCTTAAGGGTAGCCTCGAGGTTATCGGCGTCCGTCTTACGGTCTTTATAGTATATAAGTCCGATATCGTTAACGTAGAAGAATAGAATTAAACCGTCGCGGATTATAATATAGGGGTTATTAAGGATAGCTATAAAGCCTATCCTTTATAGCGTGCCGCTAAATTCCTCTTATTATAGTAGTGGCGATACCCTTAAACCGAAGAGGGCTTTCCGTAGTAGTAGGACCTTACCTAGTACTTCGTAGCCTTATAGTATCTTTATAAATACCTTTTCTTTAAGGCTAGCGTTAATAAACGCGTTAACGGTATCGAACTGCCTTATCTCTAGGTTAAATCGGGCGGTAATCGCTATTAGTATACGGAAGGACTATTAGGCTAGTATTACGGCGTAGTTATCTTTAGTCTCTAACCGTTTTTATTAATCCCCTCGGACTATAAGGCGTGCCTTATACTTAAGGAGGGTGCCCTCCTTATTAAATTTATAGGTATATACCTATCTATAGGCGAGGACTTATTACTTATTAGCCTAATCACTAACTACCTCCTGCTAGTAGTCTGTCTATCGGTGCCCCTTAAGGTATTCCCCCTTGGCCTATAACTACCGCTCCCGTAACGGATAAAGGCGTATATCGCGGTAGTAGTTTAGTAGAGGCAGAAGATCCTCGCGGGTTATGTACGATAGCGATAGCGGCTAGGAGGTGTAAGGGGAATCTATAGCACCGATATCGTTATTATTCATAATTTACTTCCTCGTGCGTGTAGGGTTATAAGTCCTGCTAGCGTTAAAGAACGCCTTTTAGGCGTTATCGTTCTAAACCTTCTCGGTCGTGTATAGACTTACGATAGTTCTCGTGATAGATAGGCGCGCGGCCGACGGGAGTATAGCCGATAAGCACCCCCTAGGGGCACCTATAGCTATCCGTTAGTGGTTATCGTGTTCTTCTACCTTAGCGCCCCTAACCACCGCTAACGCTATAAGGAATGCGCGCGCGGGATTTTCAGGGGATATTAGAGGCGTGGAAAACGGTTTAAACCTCGTAGTGGTAAACCGTAAAGTATCCGTAGTAATAGCGGTGGCCTCTCCCGTAGTAATAGCGGTGGCGTTAAAGTTACGAGGTTCTAAATCTATAGCTTAGTTATTAGGCTATAGATTTAGAACCTCGTCTATAGTAATAGTAATAGCCTCTTTTATAGTAATAGCGATGGCCTCGCCTTTATCCGTAGTAATATCAGTGGCGTAAGAGTCTTCCGACTTAAGATTTAATACGTCTATAGCTATACCTCTTAATAGTAACTTATTCGCGGTCGTGGTATAGGTCATATGGATAGATTATAGGCGTTCCCCGATTTCCTTAGCGGAAGCTATAGCTTATAGCGTTTTAATCCTACCGTTAAATATCTCGTCTTCGTTAAAGACTATATCTCTCGTAGTAATAATATTCGTTAGGTATAGTAACTAAATACAGAAGCTATTCAAGAATTAGTATCCGACGTGATAGTCGATCTATACCTTCGGTTCTAGTCTTTATAGGCGGTTTCTTTTAGCTTAGGTATCGCGCGTTTTTATAAAGGCTTTATAGCCGTAAGCTTATAGGTGCGTAAGGTTAGGTTAACGGCCGCGTAGGCCTTTATATAGTATCTTCCAGTTATTAATATATCGTGGCGTTCTATTATATAGATATATAGTAGTCTTAAAGATCTTAGGCTAAATAGATATAGGTAGATTAGCTCTAATCCTTATAGCCCTCGCCCTTCTCTTAACGATATCTTTAATCCGTTCTATTACGCTGTTCTAATCTTATAAATATAATACTAACGGCTAGCCTTTTACCCCCTTAGCAGCGAGGAAAGTAATAACTTCTAGGTGCTAAAATATCTTAGAATCGGCCCGTAGAACGCGTGGCCTAATATCGAATTAGGTCTTAAGTAGGGTAAAAATATCCTTTAGAGCGTATAGGATAGAGCCTTAGTCTCTCTTCTATAGGTAGTAATCCCACGTATAACCTGTGTATATATCTATAACGAATATAATAGACTTATACTATCCGCCCGCTAACTACTCCGCCTTTTCTAGATCGTGAAAATTAATAGCTAGGGCCTCTCCGGGCTTTAACGGGTAAAGGGATAGTATCCGCCGAATCTATATAGGCATTTACGATTATCTATACGCGTTATAGTCTATTATACGTGGTCCCTTTATCCTTACCCCCTAAATAGCGTCGACGATCTTTATAAGAGTATCGGTACCGTAATGGCCGAGGCGTTTATACTACTATTATACTGTAGTCTTCTACGGTTACCGTGGTTATCGTGATCTTCTATACGGGTTATCGCGGGGGTGCCTTACTAAGACCGCGAACGCGGTAGCGGCCGTGGCTTCCGCGCACTCGATTATATACTAGCCGTGGATATCTAGTAGTTTATAGATAGGCCAGTTATCGGCGGAGCTAATAATAGTATCGTTTACGGTATCCTAGCAGTAACCTTATAAGCGTAGCTAGTATTCCGAGACGATATTAATAATAAATTCCTTATAGTATACAACGTTACGGAGGCGTAATAGCCTTTTCGTGCCCGTTAGAGATTATACACGTAGCTTAACGTCTCCGTATCCGAGGATAGGAGCCTTATAAGTACCCATCTAAAGCGTTAATAAATTAACCGTGGGTAGTCTAATAGCCGTAAAACGGCCTTAATTATTAAAGATATAGATTAATAATCCTAAGTCTAGGATTATATAGTATAATAGCGCTCTGGCTTAGTTAATAGAAAGGGATATCCCTTATTCTTATTATAATCTTAATAGTGTCGTCGTACGACGACGCGTTACCCCCTAGGTTAAGGGGGCTCCTAGTCTCCCCGTTGCGGTAACGGACAGGTCTTTATAAATTATAGTAAGCGTAGTATTATAGAGTTAATCTTCCTGGACTTTCACTATCTTATTAGCGGTAGTAGTTACTGCTTCCCGCCTTTTCTATATCGCGGTGTCTACGCGGCTTTTAAAACTATAAATACGTATCTTCTTTTCCGCAACCTTTATAATATCTTCACGGCTATACTAGGTATAAGGGCGTATATCCGGCCTTACGTACTAATAGGCGGCGGTAGTATAAGTATTTTCGTATATCTTACAGGGCCTCCTTATTACGGGAGGGATAGCCTTT